CCAACCTGATTTGGTAGTCAGGAGCAAATTTATGTGCCTGATGGCTTGTTAGCAAAGGTGAGCTTTGCTCTACTCTTCTTTTTCTTGTCTTTGTCCTTTTTATCGGTACCGGGTATCGAACTCACGACTGCCTGCTAGCAAGGCAGGCGCTTATGCCGCTGAGCTAAATCCGCAGGCGCTTATGCTGCTGAGCTAAATCCCCAGCCCCTGCTCTACTCTTCTTAATGAGTCCTTTAGTTCATGATCTATAGTTGTCTGGAGCCAGGCTGGCAGACTTGTTTTTCTCTAGACATTTTGCTTTTGTGTCCAGGCATAGCCTTCCCACCTGTAGTCCTTTTAAGGTTCTATCATGTCCCCAAACTCCAAATAGTAAAGCCTGGCTGTACTTAATATTGTGTCTCAAGTGCTTAAAATCTAAGACAGGAGTACATGGCCCATGTTTAGGCAGGATTTCACATGTTGAAGTGTATCTGGAGGTGCTTTCTTCCAGTCACCTCTTAGCAGTAGCTTCCTAATACAAAATGCTTACTTTAGGAAATCAAAGATTGCATTTTGGTATTGGGGATTGAACTCATGACCTCACGCTTGCCAAGCAGAAGCTTGTGCTGCTGAGATAAATCCCCAGCCCAAAGATTGCATTTGAACAGAAAAATTAATACAAAAGACTAGTTTTGTTATAGCCATCTTATGGGCCTGCAGGACACACAGCCATTAGCATCTTCCTGTGGTGAAGTGGGAAAAATGAGAAGTTGGTGCCACAGATCCATCAAGAGCCCTACTCTGGGGATGTGCTAGTGATATCCTTGTGTTTGGATCTCCCACATCCTTTCATTTTATTTCTCCAGGATAGCCAGGGTGAGATCCCCAAGTGTGGCTTCTGCCTCTTGGGTATTTTTTGTATCAGTTGTTGCATAAGTTCCTTTTTTTTTTTCAACCTGAGGTATAGATAGTTAGCTTTCATGATTTCAGATGGTTCTTGATGTCATGATTAGGGCCTTAAAATGTAGATACTTGATTTTAGAATGTATTCTCTGGGTTCTCTGGGTACTCTAGTCAGTAGTTGGCAGAGTAGAGACTATTGGACCCGCTTTCATGTTTCCATACACTTCTGCGCTAGTGCTGGGAACACAAATGGAAGTAAGTATTCCTGTTTTCACAGCCCTTCAGGCTAGTGGGATGGCACATATGTAAATAAGATTGTTGAAAACATGGCAGTAGATGTGATTCTTTTGGGGAAGAGAAGAGGGATACTACCTAATAAATAGTTGACAAGAGTTGCTACATTATTAAAAAGCCTTGTAAACTACTGTATACTTTGTTGGTCTGATCACTTTCTCCTTTCAGTCAGGTACCAGGAGTCTGAGAGAATATACTCTGATGGAGCTGCTGGTGGTAAGTACGTGGAAGTGAGGTGAGGTTTTCAGGAACCTCGACTCGCTGTGAGGCCCAGCTTTCTGCCTGAGGACTGTGAACTTTGAGTGATTAGAAGCCTGACTGGAAGGTTCTTATCCCACTTGGACATACGCATTTAGGAAGAAGGCAGGAAGGGAGGCTCGATTTTCTTGGGCAGTTTGTGAAACTCATTGGAGGGAAGAAATACAGGTTTCTCTTCTGGGAGATGGGTTGATGGGTAGTTATGTTGAATTACAGATGCACATGGAAGAGCCTTGTTTTGACTTTCTTCGGACCAAGCAGACCCTCGGGTAAGTCTTCTGTCAAGGGCACTGAAGTCAAATAAGTAGTCAATAATAAGTCAAATAAGTACAAAGTAAGTAGGCTGAGATTTATCAAATATCCTGACCAAGTTGTTCTTTTGAACTCTTTGCTCCTTCTGTGCTTTAGCCAGACTTTGCATCTTAGATTGTGATCAGGCTCCCGGTTTGCTTCAGGGTTAGAAAGCAAGCTAGCTTGTGGTTCCTAATTCAGCAGAGGAACAGGCACCCTGACCTGAGAATGAACTACTTGCATACATATTGGTAGTTCTTTCAGTCCCTCCAGATGGAGTGTTAGGGCACGAGCTGGGTCCCATGTGTGTAGTCTCTCTTGAGGGGAGCCTGGGTAACCTCAGAAACTCCTGTAACTTTTCACTCTGGCTATAGGTACCATGTCTACCCGACTTGCAGGAACACATCTGGGATTCTAGGATTCTCTGTCACTGTGGGGACTCAGGCAACCAAGTACAGGTGAGTATGTGGATGGGCCCAACCTATGGTGGATATGGCGTAGGGCCTACAGGTGCTTCCCTAAGCCTTAGATCTTAGCTCTGTAATTGCTTGGGACAGGGGCAGGGGCAGGGACAGTGATGGTAATAGGTGGCCTAATTGAAGACTAAACCTGTAGGACTTCGTTCAAGTGTCTTGTGGTCACTGTAGGGGTTGCCAATGTTTTCACCTCAGTGAGACCCAAGAGGGAAGGCTGCCTGAAATGGCATTCATGCTTGATGGTTCTTATCATGAAGTTGTCACATGTGGCTCTGACTGCTTCACCTTAAGACACTAGGAAAGTGGGCTGCAGGTGGGCAGTGGGAGACCCTTCCCTATCCTTCTCAACCCCTTAGCTTAGGGTAATAAGGCTTTACTAAACACTTTTAGTCCTTTTGTCCAGAAAAAAAAGCCTTTGTCGCAGTTCTTTGGAGACCAGATCTCTGCTGACTTTTCATTGAAGATGTTTTGTTTTAGCTCTGAGACTGTTGAAAAGAAAATAGAAGAGTTTCTTTCCAGCTTTGAGGAGAAGATTGAAAGCCTCACTGAAGATGCATTCAATACCCAGGTAACTTTTGGCCTGGCCTTTAGGCTGTGTAAACCTTGAAGATACCAGACTTCAGTCCCGTATGTGCTGCTGGCCTGCTTGTACTCTTTTGTGGCCCTATCTTAATCTGCCTATAGTGTCTTCTAGTTTCCTCATGACATGAGTCAGGATGGACAGCACCAAATTTGTCTCTGGGGGGAACTGGAGTGGTGCCACACCTAAGCACAGCTCTCTGGTGGAAACAGGTTACAGCTCTGATCAAGCTCAAAGAGTGCGAAGACACCCACCTTGGGGAGGAGGTGGACCGAAACTGGAATGAAGTGGTGACACAGCAGTACCTCTTTGACCGCCTTGCGCACGAGGTAATGAGTGCCAGAAGGCAGCTCTGATGAACTACTGAGGGTTTCTGACTTATTTTGTGCCCATTTCCTGGCTTAGCTCTCTCGCACTTTAAAAGTGACTGTAAGTAGGATGCTTTTACCCATCACCAATGTAGAGCATTTCCATTTTTGTATTGTGTGGTGTTGAGGCTTACTAAAAGACTTTGTAAAAAGTGTTTCTGCTAAAGATTAACAACTCTTGAGTCTTGAACAGGGAGTTCCTCTTCCAGGTTCAGTGATTCCAAATGCAATGGACAACTTCTAGCTCAAAGTATAAAATTTACAGGATGAGGTGTATGTGTGCTCATGCATGTGTGCTGTTGGTTCCTGTAATCCAGTGCTGCCTCCAATAATATGTAATTTACACTACATATTATTACCAAAGGACATGCATTACCAAAGGACACCAGTTTTAACAGAACCAGGGCAGAGCTCATCTGTCTCCATAGTTGCTTTATTTTTTCAAGCTCCCGAGTACGCAGTTACCATGTAAGTGTGACATTACAGACAGTAGTTTCTGGCATAGGGAATGGTATTTTGCTGTAATTTATAGCACCTGCTAACTTACCAGAGCTGGTAAGGTAAGTCACTGCTTTGAAACGCAGATATGAGATGCACAGGTTCATCTTTATGTTCTTCTAGAAGGCAAGTGCCAAACTCAGACTGGGAAGAATAAAGATGAAATGCTCAGATACTAAGCAAAACCAAGGAGGTCTGCTTGGGGGATGACATTTCAAAGCTGTTTTCCTTCAGCACATTTGTCTTTCTCTAAGATTGAAGCACTGAAGTCATTCTCAAAGTCAGACCTGGTTACCTGGTTCAAGGCTCATAGAGGACCTGGAAGTAAAATGCTCAGTGTCCATGTGAGTATGATGAACTACACTGCCATTCCTTCCTTTCAGGTCATGACTGAATGACTTGGAATAGATTCTAAGGAAGTCTCTGCCCAAACCTAGCATGGTTCTCACCTTGTATCATTGGCCTCTCTCAGGTTGTCGGGTATGGGAAGCATGAGCCGGAAGAGGAAGGCACCCCTTCTGCTGTGGATCCGAACTCTTCCTGTGAAGCGATGCAGCTGGACTACCTGCTGCCCTCTCCTCTGCTGACAAATTCTACCATCCCTATTACTGATATCAGGGCTTTCACATCAACACTCGGTCTTTTCCCCTACCATAAAATAGTCAAATAAACTTCAGTCTCATTGGCCTGAAGCAATGTCTATTTAAAGATGTGTTTGTATTATATGGAGTTTACACTACTACTGCCTTAAGGCTTTTGAATTTTGCACTGGCATTAAAAAGACTTAATTTATCCTATTGAGACTAATAAATGCAGGGTTATTGTAATAGCTGATGAAGAAATAACCCAAGTGGGCCAAGTGTGGATGAACCACCCACGGGAGCAGTTTGGGAAACCCTAACCTGTGTAATCAGATAGAAACTCTAGTTCTTGAGGTAGGCTCTATGTAGCCGATTTGTTATTACTCTCTAAGTGCTAATACCTGTTTTTATTTTACCTTTGTTTTCCCTTCACAATGAGCCATCTCCTGCTGTGGGATTTGATACATTTTATTTCAGTGTGGAGTGAGGATCTAAATATATATATATATTACACACTCTTCCCTAGTCCTGAAAGAGGGCAATAAAGTATTTTTGGATAAAATGCTGGTAGTCTTACATGTGACACATAAACATAAAGGGATGGGTGAGGAAAAGCCTGGAGAGTTTTCAGTTTTTATGAAAAGATAGCTCCTATATTCAGGTTGCCAAACTGTCTTCTAACTGTAACCATAAACACAATAAAAGCAGCACATTTTTTAAAAAAGTTGGAAAAATTACTTTATAAAGCCTTAAGAATAAACTGTAACCCAGGTTTAGATAAATTCTAAAATAAAGTTTATTATAGATGAAATCATGAAATTTCCTAACACTTGATTTTTAATACATTGCACTAATTTTCTAAAACTCTGAGGAACCAGTATTTACAGAGGAGTATTTATGAAAAATCTATCAAGGTATAGCTGTGTATATGTGTACATATATATATATATATAGATATATATATAGAACCCAAGATACATGAAGTAGGAAACACCTTGTATGTCATATCTTAAAAGCAGAACTACAGTGCAGAATATGAGGTTTGGGTTTATAAATGCTTTTCAAAGCATGGGGTTTGGAAAAGGAGCAGACATCTTGTTTCAAAACCTGAAGTTTTTCTCAGGACTGAAGTCAAAACTGTAACTGCCACAGAGCAAGACAGAAACTGCTTCTGCTTTAATTGTTCATCTGCGTCAGAAAGTCCAGTATCCCTGAGATAGGAACCACTGCGTTGAGAAGGGAGCAATGGGCTCTCCCAAAGGAAGATTGACTGATGCTTCATCAGGCCTGCTGCCCTGGGTACCAGGTGTGAACTTGGCGTTTCCCAATCTAATGCTTCGCAGCACCAAGACGTTTCAGTAAAGGTTCATCATAGACCCAGCATTCTCCATCTTCATGGAATAACTGGAAGAGGAAGGAGAATTAAGTTACATGCCTGCTTTATACTTCTATACATTATTCTTCTACCCCTGCTGGATGAAATGAATTTCAAGCAGGTGCCAGAAAAACACATTCCCAAATCATGCTGGGCAGTTGCTTCTGCATTCACTGCAATGCTTGGGGTAACTGCTCAGGCTGTAGCAGAGTAGCGGTCAGCAGGCAGGGCCTTACCCTCGTCTCCCACTGAATTTCTTTCTCCTTCCTTTCCCGGGCTTCTGCTCTTTGCCTTTCTTCAAGTCTGTGCTTTGCTTCAGTTGCTGCATCAATGTCTCTGATTTTTAAATTGAAAGTGACATCCTTCCAAAGGCTAAGGAAAAAGAGATCAGGAGGAACTGGCAATGTCAAATCACAGGCTTTTAATGCTGTCGTTCACAAATCATAAGCTGGCAATAGGGCACTGCACAAATGAAGAATACAAAAATGCCCCCCCCCCAAGGCAGGCAAGTTGGTATGGGAGAAAGACCAGAGGTGTGGAAAAACCAGAACTCAGCCTGCACCTGGCAGGCAGCAGCCCTTACCAGCGGGACTCGTATTCATTCTGATCTTCCAACTTCCTCACTTTTTTCTTAATTATAGGCAATTTCTTAGTATCTACAAAGACAGTATTTTCCTAGAAAGAAAGAAATTTTCTGTTCAAACTGTTACCAAAGTCATCTCTTCCCAGAAGACTAACAGGTAATTTCCATCTATGTTACTGATGCAAAGAACAAGTTTCACATGCAGCCTAAAACCTAAGATAGTTTTATGGCTCAAGTGCAGGGGCTTAGTTCAACATCTGTTTTCAAAGTGGCTATGCGCTATATGCTAGGGATATCCTCACTTAAGGAGAGGATACCTCTACACCTATACAACCAATTCTCACTGTTGCCAGTGCTTTTCATATTGCAAATTCTCCAAAAAGTCGGTCCACCAGCTCTTCTGTTACGCTTCTACTACCTTTTTCCTAGCTTAATGGAAACAGTTCATAGGTTCATGCAAGTTCCTTGATGGCAGGACTGCTACTATTTTCTAAGGCCAGGCAGTCAGTATTATTAAACTCAGTATATACAAATACACATAAATTTATTTAGCACTTTACTTTACAAACCTACCCCATATTTTGATGCTATACCTAATATTTACTGATACTCAGTAAATACTGAGTATCAGTACTGATATTACTGATACTTCCTAGATACTCAGCACTGTCTGTATGTTCTGAAGTGTTTTGAGAGTAAAGAGTAAAGTAACAGTCATTCTGCTGGAGAGGGAGTTGGTTGAGGAAGGACCAGCCTGCTCTAAAGACCTGGTCTTGTTAAAGATTACAGATGAAGGAATCAAAAGGTTACAATTCAGTATGGCTTAAAACAAGTGGCAAAACATGTTCTTACCCCTGTTGCATATTTCGCATACATTATACCATTCCATTCCCCTTCAATTGAACAAAAGGACTTCTTATCATTTGGAGAACTAAAACAAACAAACAAACAAACAGTTGTGTCAGTCATCAGTTAAGAATCATTCTACCAGAGACCATAATCAGTATGGCCACATTAGAACAGAGAAGCACTGCAGAGTCCCTGGTAAAAAGCAGCTTCACAAAACTGGACTTCCTGGGGCCAGCTATGAATGAGGGTACTGGGCAATGTGCTAATGAACTGCTGAGTGCGAGGAGTGGCTGTGAGGTGGGCAACACAGCCCTGCATGCAGAGCTGAGGCTTGGTACTTCTCTGCTCCTCAGCTATTCACAGCCTGGTAGAGACACTGCCAGAGGCTTTGGGTGATGAGCACTGTGGTGAGCTTGCACCAGTGATTATGAGCAGAACTGCTGGTATGAGGGAGCTGAGCCCAGGTTTAAGTGGACCCCTAAGTCAGATGGTTTGAACTCTCTTCTTGGGCAACAACCCCAAAAAAGTACCTTCCTCAAAGTCTTGACACCACACAGTAGGTAGAGTGGATGGAATTTAGGCAGATGGCATGAAGGGCAAGACATGAACTCATGAAGACTGAAAGAGGTCGGAAAGTACGTGAATGAAGTAGACAGGTGAAAGCTGCTAGTGCTAGCTGGAAAGAGGACAATGAAAAACAGGTTTGCAGGTCTGGAGGGTGGTTGTGCCGTGGTTCTCAAAGTATGGTCTGGGAGTCCCTCAGAAGTTCCAGGACTCTACGATACTGCAAATTCAGTTTTCTCAGTTTCCAAGAGGCCATGTGACATAGCCATAGACTGAAGGCAGGTAGCAAACAGACGAATCCATCTATTTATTGGGGATTTACAAAATTTATAAAATTTATAGTGACACAATTCTACAAAACTTAGGTCTTTCTGAGTGAGACAGGTGTTCCTATTTAAACCAGGCTGGCCCTAAACTCATGATACTGCCTTTGCCTCCCGAGTGCAGGAATAACAGGAATGAGCAACCACACAACCAATTTTTAAGGAAAATTTTAATGAAAGTTACTTTGCATGGAAATGCTATTGTCATTTGTCAATAAATTACTATTTTAAAATACTGGTTTTTAGGACTGGGGATTTAGCTCTGTGGCATAAGCGGTGAGTTTGATCCCCAGTACTGATAAAAAGGGAAAAGACAAAAAAACAAAAAAACTGGTTTTTAAGCCAGGTGTGGTGGTACCTGCCTTTAATTCTAGCACTTGAGAGGCTGAGAACAGGGATTACTATGAGTTCACTGCACAGTGAGACTCTGTCTTGGGAAAAAATAAAACTGGTTTTACTTTTTCAGGAAAATGGTTTTGAATATAATCAACATAAAAAACTTGTTGGGGCTAAAAAGTTTAAGAACTCAGCTAATAAAGCCCTTCAGCTAATGCTCAAATCAGTAACTCAAAGGTCACACACTAGAGGCTCCTGCTGGTAGAGCACAAAGCCCTGCTGAGCCAATAGTTCCTTTGTGTTTTACCTCTGAGGGCTGAGGAGGAGGGCTGCTGTCTTCACTCTGAATCTGCCATCTCCATTACCTGCCTGCGTCCTGGGGCAGGTGATGAGAACAGTGACCTGCACTGCAATTCAAGCCTTGTCCATATTGTCTAAATAGAGTGTATTTTTCTAATCTTATACTGGTCCTACAAACTTCACCTTGTGTTCATGGCTTCTCCTCAAGACTGCTTTGGTAGCTGATTCTGTTATCCAAATGAATCCCTCAGACACTAGTTAGCCACTCTGGTGTTTTCCACATGGGACACTGCTCCAGGAAAGCTTTGCCAGAGCAGAGGAAAAGCTTGGGCTCTACACTGCACTCTTTTTTTCCAGGCAGGCTCAGAAATTACCCAAAGCTGCCTTCACCTGACCCAAAAGTGTCAAATGGAACCAAGTGAATGCCTATGATATGTGACATGTGCTCCACCGCCAAGGCACAGCAAGCACAAGGAACGGCTGTGAAAACAGGAGGGGCATTAGTGGAGATCACGGTGTCTGCTGGAAGAACCAACTCAACGTTTGAATCTGGCAAGGAGGTGCTGGGCAATTATGTTCTGGCCCAGCTCTCACAGGTCAGGCTCCAAGAAGCAGAGCCTGCCTGTGACCTCTCATTGTTCTGCATCCAGGCTTTAGGTTTCCTTTTGATATGGGATTTTAGGAAGAGATTGACAAGAGAAGAGAAAAAGACAATCTGGGAAAATGGGCAATTCCAAACATCTATGTCAAGGCAAAAGAAAAAGCATTGCAGAAAAGCACTGAGGCTGAAAAAATACCTACAAAATCTCAGCAGTAATTCTGTGTTTCTTGCCCCCATAGAAAGGTTTAGTGTGGAAGATGATGTTTGCACTATAGCCCGTTTTGGAACAATTAATACTGCATTCTCCTCCTAGTTCCACCCAGGGCACTGTGAGGATAGACCTGCAAAATAAAACATGCTAACAGTTAAGAGGCTAGCAATTAAGAGGAAATAAAGGAGGGCATGGTTTGAGGAACAGCAGGTCTGCTACTCATCCAAGAAAGTAAGCAAAGCTCTACTTGCCTTCCATAACCATTAGGGAAGGTGAGGATGTAATGTTCGTCGTAGTCTAAACACGAGACACAACCTGCAGAGACAAAGAACAAAGCCTCTGATGGGCACCGTCACACTGGCTGTGCAGCTGCGGTGGATATGCAGTTCAACTTAGGAACAAGCTGTTCTGTACTCTGCTCCTATCCTCACCCCCCAAAGACGTGGGCCTACGCAAGTGATGGCATCCAGTCTTGCTTCCTGTGGCATTTTTCCTTATAGACAAGTGTCCAGCACATATTAGAATGGCGTAAAATCTCCCTGCTAACACTGCAGTCTACCCAATATTGCCCACAACTTACCCTGCCCTATGTTGTGAACCCCAATTGACATCCCGAGGAACTTTGACTTGGTCCAGATATGAGCATTGAATTGTATCTTCTTGTTAAAACACTCAGCATAAAAAGCTGAAACTAAATAGAAAGTATTTTCCATTAATGTATTATACAGGTATAGCCAATTCTCCAAACTCAGTCTGGGGGGAACCAGTCTTACATTTGACAATGAGGTATCCACTTTCTTTTTATACCCTTCTCTCAATGCAAGCACCTATTCAGAGCCAAGTGGGCAACAACTCTCCAAAAATGGGCAGCTATGCTCATTCCAGGAGGCTTAAAACCAACAGGGTTATTTGTTCTGGTCAGTAAATATACCCCAATCTAAGCCCATCCAATATTTCCAGTCTTAGTACTTCATGAAACAAGATGCTGAAGATCTATATTATTGCCACTGTATTTGAAACATAGGGCAAAACACTAGACATCATTTAAACTGTCCCAAAGTTGCTAAGGACTCTGTAGCACAGATCATTATGTGTCAGATGAGTCTAGAAGCATCAAACACTGGTTTCCCAAATCCTTTTTAATCAGCAACATGATAAATCTTTGAAACATACAAGGATCCCGTGAGAGGAACCAATCTGTTGTTTCTACTCCAGGTACAGGGAGGTCACACACAGTAAGGTATGTGGTGGTGAAGTGGCTCCAGATGCAAAGCTTTTCATGACTGGAGTATAAGTACACGCTGCAGAAGAGCTCTGTAACTTACTTGGTGGATGATGGGAAACCTGCTCAGCCACGAATGTTACACTGTTTTTAGAAACCCAAGGGACTGGTCCTTCTGAAACTAGCTCCTGCAAACAAATAAAACATTTTCTTTTGATGTGGGAACAAATGCAGAGAATGTAACAATTAAGAGTCTGCTTCTCCTGCATATGCACCAAATACCCTCTCACCCCTCTACTGTAGCGCTTAATTACACTTCGTGTGCCTAGCTTGGCACAGAGCTGGCAATGACACCTGCCAAGAGTAGGAGCAGACTGGACCTGTGTTACCAGGAAAGGATATGCAGAGGACATCACTTGGAAAGGAAAAGGCATGGAAAGTCCTGTCCATGTAAGATTAGTAAGTGCCAGGTGCTACGGGCTGCAGGCTTTTGCTTTCCCCATCTGGAAAGCCTTGTAAAGTGCATTTGACTCTTGCTGGTCTTCTTCAAACCAATCTCTGAGTCTCAGAGCATTGGGCTCAAGTCTTCACTCACCTGCTCTTCTCTTCATACATAAACTGTCATAAATCCAGGGCTTTATGACACCATCTAAATGTGTAAAAATCTCTGGAGGTTCAGCCTCCATCGCAAGATCTTCCTTGAATTCTTTGCTCCAAGCTGGCAGCTCTACTTACATGCTTCACAGGCCCCTCACACTTGAATTTCAGTTTAGAACTGTTGAATTTTCCCTCCTCAAATCTGCTACTTTTCTTATTAAATGACACCACCAATTGCTCAAGAACACAGGTGAGGACTCGCTCCTCACTGCCTCTTTCCTCTGTTCCCCAGTCCATCTATCAGTTTTACATTCAATGTATAACTGGAATCAGCCAACTCCATTGGAATTATGTCTGTTTGATTCTAAATGTGTTTTTCACAGAATAGTTATAATGATCTTTTTAAAATAAAAAAGAGATCCTGACAAGCCATGGTGTACAAGGTTCTATAGGATCTCTCGTTCTCTCATCTCGTCACTCTTCCCCTCTGGTTTTCAAAATCAATTGATCTCATCATTGCTTTACAATTATTCTCTGCCCCTAAATTAAGTGAAATCTTGTTATCAGTATACAATTATATAATCAGGACAGTCAGCACAGGACTCACTGTGTTCTCTTCAGTGTCATTTGGTAATGTCCAGTGACACTGAAAGATCTCACCCAAAATGGGATTGTATGGCTTTTTAGCAACTGATCCTTTTCTTCCTGCATGAAAGGCTGAGAGGTACCATTTGACGACCTGAACCATTCGATCCCTGGGATCCTTCTGGTCACTAATGCTGTAAGAGAGAAAGACAAAACTGAATATCCCACCTTCCGCAGAATAGTCTTTTTTATTTTTTTGATACGGGGGATTGAATTCATGACCTTGCGCTTGCCAGGCTGGTGCGTCCCCACTTCTGGCAGGGTACACGCTGCTATTGCCCCAGCATGGTCCAGTCTGAGGCACACAGAACCACAGTTACTTCAGTTTCTTTTGAAAACTGAGATAGGATGTATATAATTAAATTCATTAATCTCAGTGTTAGGGCAAATGAAGATGTCTACTTCTCAAGCATCATCTAGTCAGGCACAAAATGTTTGCATTCTCCCAAAAAGTTTTGCCATCACTCTTTCCAAGCCATCACCTCCCGATACTCGGGCTTCCTGTGTCACTGACTAGTTTTGTCTGTTCTAGAACTCCACATAAATGCACTGCTTCATTGCCAAACACGGACAGTTTTCTTTAGCTGTGTCACCAATTTCTAATTTGCTTTTGGTCAGGAAATACATTCTACATGGCTACAAATGCTGTAAGTGCACTAAAGCTTCCCAGTGCATGGTTTACCTTGATGAAAGCACTGTGTGTGCTTCAAAGGGAGATGAGTGTGTATTATTCAAGTTCTGGGCAATGCTGAAAAGGTCTGGGCCCAGCTATCAGTGCCAGCTGGATCTTTTAGAGCTCACTGACCCTTCGAAATGGGGGTAACAGGCACTTGCTCCATCAGCTCCTGAAGGAGGACTTGGTGGGCTTCTCTATTTCTCCCTTGAGCCAGTTTCTCTTGCATGTATTCGAAGCTGTGCTAATACACATATTCAGGAATACTGTTTATTCTTGATAAATGGATCCTTTTAACATTATAGAATGTCCTCATTTGTCCTGTTTTAAAAGTCTCCTTTGCTTACTATACAGCTACACCAAGTTTGCTGCATTTCTGTACCTAGTGAGAAAGTACTCCCAATGCCAGTATGGAGACACATATCCAGCACGCAGGACGGGGAGGCAGGAGCATCACCTCAGACCAGCCTGGACAACTGTGAGTTCAAGATAAGCCTGAGCAACACGGTGAGATTTCTGAAACAGGGTCACACTATGTAGCTCAGGCTGGCTTTGAACTCACAGTGATCTTCCTGTCAGAACCTCCCCAGTGCTGGGATTGCATGTGTTTGCCACCACGCTCAGCAGGCCTTTGTTTTTAAAAAACTAAGTAAGTGAACGAATTAAAAAAAAAAAAAAAAAGAAAGAAAAAACTGTCTCTGAGGTACATTCACAACTGTAGTGTATGGCATTTTGAGACAGTCTTGCTAGTTAAAGCCCAGACTAGTCTTCAACTCAGTATGTAGCCCAGTCGGGCCTTAAATTTGAGATGTTCCTGCCTCAGTTTCTTTGCGTGCTGGGATTATTATCAGCACGTGAAATAGCACTTGGCTATTCTTTTATTATTCTTTAATTTTTATTTCATGAGCACACATCGGCAGTATGTAATGATTATATTCATTGTGGGAAATTGGTCCATGTACATACCATGACAATTCTTTTTTCATTCCTTTCTCCCTAATCTCTTGGAGTCTCTTCATTTTTTAAAAAAAGATCTATTTCCAATTATTTTTTATTTTGTGATTTATATTTTAGGCTTCTTATAGAAGAGGAAACATGCAATATATAAGCTTGGAAGTCTGATTTATTTCACTTAACACTGTGGCTGATCTCAAGGTGCATCCAATTTCCCACATATGACTCAAATTCATTTTTCTTTATGGCCACGGTAGCACTATATCATATATAAATAACACATTTTCTTTATCTGTTGATGAACATACAGGCTGTTTCAAAGACTTAGCTATTATGAACTGTATGGAGGTACTGCTGTAATATGATGTTTTAACTCTTTCAGGAAAATATAAGGGGACCAGCTGGGTTGATTGCATTTTCTGTATTTAGTTTTTTTCCATAATTGCCATACTGATTTCCACAGTGGATATACTAGTTTACATTCCCACCAGCAATGAAGGATTCTTTTTCTCCTGAAGCCTTGCTAGCTACTTATCACGATTTAAATACCTCATAGCTAACCCTTCTAGAGTAAGATGGAATCTCATGATTCTTTTTTCTATCAGAAATGGGCACCAAACATTTTTTCATCTATTAGTCACTTGTACTTTTTCTTCTGAGAAGTGGCTATTCATTTTAGTTATCCATTTTTTTTTTTTTTTTTTTTTTGTCTTTTTCTTTCTTATTGGTACCAGGGATCGAATTCACGACTGCCTGATTGCAAGGCAGGTGCTTATGCTGCTGAGCTAAATCCCCAGCCCCAGTTATCCAATTTTTGATTGGGCCTTTTACTCTGGGAAATCTAATTCTTTCGAATTCTGATCTATTTTTACCTATTTTTAAAATATTTTATCTATTTTGAGTTTTACCTATTTTATCTTCCAGTTGGTTTCAATTTTAATAATTAGATCTTTGGTCCATTTTGACTTCAGTGCATGACAAGAGGTATGAGTCTAGCTTCAATACACTGCGAAAAACCATTTGGTAAAGAGGCTGTCTTTTCTCCAACATACATACTTGGCCTCTTTTTAAAGCTCAGATAGCTGCAGTGTATGGGTTGTTTCTGCATCTTGCCTTTTGTCCCACTGATCCTTTTTCTGTAGTTTTTGTTTTAGGGGTCTTTAACTTCCTTGGTTAGGATGGCTCTGAAGTATTTTTCTTGATGATATTATTTTCCTAATTATCAGTGAGTTCACTATTGGTATCTAGGAATGATACTGATTTTTGTGTTGATTTTGTATTCTGCTACATTGCTGACTTTGGTTATTAATTCTAAGAGTCTTTTGGAGGAATTTTTTGGTTCTGTTGCCTAGAAGATCATGTCATCTGCAATAATTCTCTCTTCTTTCTTGCCCATTATATGTATCCCTTTCGTTTCTTTCTCTTGCGAGGTTGCTTTGGCTAATGTGTTGAGTTCTATATTGAACAGGCATGGTGACAGTAGACATCCTTGTTTCTTTTTTTTTTTTTTTGTCTTTTTCCTTTTTATCGGTACCGGAGATCGAACTCATGACTGGCTGCTTCCAAGGCAGATGCTTATGCCACTGAGCTAAACCTCCAGCCCCCTTGTTTTATTTCTAATTTTATAGGAAAACCACAGTGCTTTTCTCCACTTAATATAATGTTGGCTATAGATTTGTCATAAATGGGTTTATCAGATTGAGGTAAGTTTCTATTCCTATTGAAGTGCTTTATCATGAATGCATGCTAGATTTTGTCAAAGGTTTTCTCTGCCTCTACTGGGATGATCATGTGATTATCCTTTTATTTTTTTTTTAGGCAATATTAAAGTCTCTCCCTGTGAAATGGCATAAAGATGCATCTTGCTTTTTTATATAATTTGACAACTGCCTGCCCTGCCCCTTGTTGTGTGTGCGTGCATGCACATGAGCGAGCGTGTGTGTTAGTTACAGGGGACTATATACATGGGCTTCACACTTCATTACAGCTTCAGCCCTTTTTTTTCACTAAATATTTTGAGACAAGGTCTCCCTAATTTGCCAAGTTGGCCAATTCAATCTGGGACTGAACACACAATTCTCTTGGCTTTAGCCTCCTATCGTGTTGACATTATGAACATACAACACTACTCCAGTTTGTTGCTCTTAAAAGGAGAATGAGTTTCATTTATATTTAGTGTAATTATTGATAAAGGTGAGTTTAACCCTACCATCTTATATTTGCTTCTACATATCTCTCTCTCATTCCCTATCCCATCAGTCTGCTTTTCTGCTAAGTGTTTTAGTGTTGTTTTATTTTATCCATTGGTTTTTGAAAGCTATACTTTCATATTTAAGTGATTCAGTCAGGGCCCCTCAAAGTTTAATTTTTCACAAAAAACTACCCTTAAATTCAAATCTGTATTTAATGAACAAGTAGTACTTTCCATTTTGACTTGCACATCACCGATACAAGCTTGTTAAATTATTTTAATTAAACACTTCCATATTTATTTGAATTACTGCCATCTGGCAATTGATTACATGGCTCCCTTAAATCTTCATCAAAAACGTAACACATATACACCAGTGTTGGAAAATGTGCCCACCCTCTGTGAAACCTCATTAATCTGTCCCTGGTTTCAGTAAAGCACAGTTCAAGGCCAAGAGATGTAATTAGAGAAGATGAATTACATTTTCTATTACAAAGAAAATTTTTGGAAACCAGTGTGAACTTGTCTCTCTGCAATCAATCTCACTTCTGTTCCCTATGCATATAGCTAATACTACAAACTTTGTATTTAAAATGTATTGGTTGATATTTCAATACTGGATTATAAATTCCTTAAGGATAGAACCTCTTGGTTCTACCTTCTTTCTTCAGCTTATAACATAGCACCTGGCAAACAATAGGTGCTTAAGGTTTGCTTTACTCAGTTAGTATCAATTAAGATGAGAATACAGTACAAATAATACTGATTACCACTGTCTGGATTAAGTAAGTGCAAAGTCTATACTGGCCACTGAGGTATTACTAATGCACCAAGAATTTTTTAGAGTGGTAAACTTGGGTGCCTAATACTAAGCAGTCAATCATCCAATTTTACCATTCAATACCATTTTTACCCAGGAACAGCTGATGGGCAAGAAGGAATCCATCTATCCTGGCATAGGCACAAAGCTACAGAGTTGTAACTTAGAAAATTGGATGTTTTAATAGAAACATCTAGAAAATTCTATGTTTAGAATTCTATGTTTAAATTCTATTAAAATTCTATGTTTAAATACCTCACAAACAGGTCCGGATGTGCAAAAAAGTCTGCATACATTTCTAAAAGAGATCTTCTTTCAAGAATAAATGTTGGAAGAACAACCTGAAAAACATACACATTTGACCCATAAGGATCAAATTACACTCAAGATGAACCGATTGCTGCACAACACTCATTCTAGCCACACTGTCACCCACCCCATACTTCCCAGGCACATGTCTGCAGTCAGCCCTCAAACGCACTGTCTCAGAAATGCCCATTACCCTGCCCAGCAGACAGCGGAAGACAGAAGGGGTCTGAACGTGCAAGGGTCACTTCCTCTGTGCAAGTCCCTTCCTCCTGAGTGTAATAACAATGACAAATCCAGACCACTCTGGTCTGCTCAGAACTCTGCATCACCTTATAAGCCACACCAATTTTACAAACACTATTATACAAATTAGTGAAGGAATTATGTTCTTATTTTATAGCAGAAAAATATACAGCTCACACAAGGTGGGAAATTTTTTCATTGCTCCATCATTTCCGTGGATCCAGCACTAGGACTGACTGTGTTCTCTCCCTCTGCCACTGCTGCATCGCTGCCACCAGCCTGCACTAGAAAATTTACCTAACATCTGCCAGTTTACCTCCTCAGCTCTTAGAACACAAAGAGGAAGTTTTATCCACATTTATGCTCCTATTTACTATTACACAGCAAGAAACTTTAAATGGAGGAATTAAGAAAGAAAGAAAGAAAGAAAGAAAAGGAAGAAAAAATTAAAATTAAAAATCAGTGAATGTTTTTTCCTGGAGGCTGAGTCTGTGATGCTCTGTGTTCAGGGCCTGTGGATATGGCCAAGCAAAGCAAAGGAGACAGGAAATTGTAATATGCCAAGAAATCAGGAGAGATAAAGATTAATCAGTAACAAAAGGGAAGAATTTCATTTGGGAATCAGAATGGAAGAAATGTTTTTGAAATATGCATTAGATTATTTTAAGTCCTTCTATAAGTAAATATTATCATAGAACCTGTGTATTCAGAATCTAAATATGGCTAGACAGGCCAGAAAGCTTATGTGACTGGACTGATGGAAGTTCTTACTTTGAAGAACTCAAAGTTTATAAAGCACCAAGTAACAATAAAAGAAATAAAATGGTTAAATATCTTTAAAGAGCTAATACGGGGCTGGGGATTTAGCTCAGCGGCATAAGCACCTGCCTTGCAAGCAGGCGGTCGTGAGTTCAATCCCCGGTACCGATAAAAATGAAAAAGACAAAAAAAAAAAAGTGAAACTCCTCCCTGATGGTGCTTTGAAATTTTGTTGAATTTCTTTTTTCTCTTCTTTTGCTTTTTTTCTCTGCTTGAATAAAATGGATTTGAAAAAGAAACAAGAAAAAAAAAAAGTGAAATTCCTAAATTTATTTGACTTTCTAAAGCTGAGTAAAATACTAATTCAACAAATATGAAAGCAACTCCAGCTTGTCTTCAACACAGAGGTATAAAAGGAAAGTTTACTCGGCCAGACTGGACTCAGCTCTGCCCTAAAAAGTCACTTAATCGTCTATGTTTATCTCTCGGCTGTAAAACAGGCTGAATAGTAACAATGGCTTCACAGTGGAGTTGTGGAAAGAAGTCAAACAACCAAGTTTCTAGCACACCCGCAGATTCTCTAAGGGGTCCCCACACAGCCTTCAAACTCAGTTGGGCACTCTTCAGAACTCCGGCTTGAGTTTGAATCCAAGTCCCGTCGACAGCCATTGTACGATTCCATGTGTGCGCAGCTGTGCGCTGGCAGCCTCAGGGAGCCAGCTTTGCTGGGCGCCCTACAAGGCCAGCCCGCGTGTGTGCACTTTGTGCATGTGCTCATGAAAAGCTGGGTGTGGGGAGACCAGGTCAGGTGACAGCAGAGCGAATGCCAGCATCTGTCCTCTGCCCCAAGACAGCTGTGCCCATGTGGACTCTGAAGGTTTTCCCCCTGACACGAACCAAGACAGGCTATTTCTCACTGACTGTAGGTTCAAATCTTACTCCGTACAAGCCGTACATTATTCTCTGTGAAACGATGCAACTTCACTTACTTTACCTATCTCTACAACTTTTGAATGTACTCCTGTGCATATGCATTATATCACTAGACAAGTATCGAACAGTTACAGCATTTGTGAGCACACTCACCACCTGGTCATTAGGATTTTACCACACACATGAAGCACCACAAAGTGCAACTCTGCTTCTTACCTTAGTCAGGTCCATTCCGAGCCTAACCTGTGACAAAAGGTGCATGATGACACTCTTGTGCTCCTCCACCGACCCAGCCTCCGCGTCATCATCTCTATCGTCATGTGAATCGAAAAGGTCTAAAATAGAACACATTTTCTCAGACTGGTGTTAAATGAGCCAAATTATGCTACTACCAGTATCATGCATGTTTATAAGGAAGAAAGAATTAAATTCTCCGACCCTTACCGGCATCACTCGTCCCATTGGACATGGAGGAGTTCAGTGACTCTGTGGTATCCGGCCGCTTCAGGCTATTTCCCGAGCTGCTGTGGGTCAAGACTGAGGCAGAGCCAGAAGAACTGAAAAAAATAAAATAAAATCACTTTCTTAAACTAAAGAAAGCAACCTGGAATCACAGCAACATATCATGCTAATCTAGAAAGCTACTTCAAACCAATACACAGGAGTGGGCATGGAAACGAATCCACCCTGAACTGGTAGCAGGGCAGCTGCGTCACAGGGCAGATTGTACATGAGGCCTGGGACAGTGTCGCCTTGTGCTCAAAGGCGAGCCACTGTCCTCATCAAAACTTAGTGAAATTTCTACCTCTGTAACCAAGTCTGAAGTTGAGTTCATTGTCTAGTTTTGTTACTTTGCATCCATGCAGAATTGTCACAATTCTTGGCAATTATTTCCAGAACCGCAAGGTCCATGAAATCTAAGAAAGATATTCTATCTATATTTCTGAGATCCTTTGATTAAAAACCCTACAGTGTCATTAACACAATTAGGTTGACGGCGGGGCGGGGGGGCGGGGCGGCGCGCGCATGGGGCGGACGGGGGACGTGACGATGGGGAACAGATTTTTTTCCAAGCGTATTTATGGCATCTGGCTCTATAATAAGCTAGTCAGCAGGGGTTTTTGGTACTGGGGATCAAACTCACAACCTCACGCTTGCTAGGCAAGTGCTTTTGCTGCTCAGCTAAATGCCCAGCCCCTGCTAGTTAGCAGGTTTAAAGAAAGCTGCTGCTGCTTCTTTTTCATTCTCTTTTTTCTCAGTCTTTTTTGAGACAGGGTTTCATTATCTGCTTCAGGTTGACCTTGAACTCACGTTGCAGCCCTGGCTGGCCTGGAACTCGTGGTGATCTTCCTGCCTCACTCAGACTCCCAAGTGCTGGCATTACAGACATGGGCCACCACGCCTAGCTAAGAAAGTGTCTTTATTAAATTTGCCCGGGTTAAGTGTTTTAAATTAAATGACCAGAAGTGCATAGTTTACTTATTAAGTATAAAAACAAACTGAATTTCTTACACTGCAGATACTTATAAAATGGTGCATTATAAGTCATTACCAATCTATTGATGTAAAACAGGTAGTTTAATTAAGACAGTTTACTTCTGTTACTTCTTTTGACCTTTTTAAAATAAACTTTATTTTACAGACCATCACTAGGGTCACAGCAGCAGAAAGTCAAGAGTTCCCTTATAACTCCGTTCCTCCTCCTCAAGACCAGCCTGCCCCAGTGGTACAGCTGCTATGACCCATTATTTCACGGTAGCATCCAAAAGTTCACAATTTATACTAGAGCTCAAGCTTGGAGTTAAATGACTACACATATGCAGAATACTTTCCCTACCCATAAAGTCCTCTGTGCTCTACGTGTATTGGAACCTAAAGCCAGGAATGGTACTACATGCCTGTAACTCAGCTCAGTAGAAAGCTGAGGCAGGAGGATCAGAACTTCAAGCTCAACCTGAGCAATTTAGACCTCATCTCAAAAACAAAACAGCAACAACAAAGACCCCAATGTCAGATCAAATAAAGTATCTGTGGTCCCAAGTGTGAAGGAACCTAAAATGAGTTAGCTGGCCATACAACTCAGGGTCCCTTCAGATGAGAGGTTGGTAAACTGTGTGTGTGTTTGAGCTAGGATACAGAGAAGGCACAGAAGCTCACACCTGTAATCCCGGCACCTCCGAGGCTGAGGGCAGGAGGATCGTTGTGAGTTTAAGACCAGCCTGGGCTACGAAGTGAGCTCAAGGCCAGCCTGAACTGCCTAGTGACACCCTGTCTCAAAAAGGCCAGAGAGGGCAAAGAGAAGAAACCTTAAAAGACAGAGGATGCTGGGCAGGGTGGTGCAAATTACAATCCCACCATGGGAGGCTGAGGCAAGAGGACTGCCACGAGTTTGAGGCCAGACTCAAAAAACCAAAGAGACGGAGTTTGAGACAAACTGGAGTAGCCCATCAGCCTGTTGGTGACTTTGTAGATGTTGCTCCAAGGCCAACAGGTAAATGTTTTAAACTTTTCTATTTCATAAAAATTTTACAAATATCCCTCAAATTAAAGGGTGACACTGTTGGCAATGATATAGGGAGCTAACCTCATATTGGCAAGCTTTTATTCCATGCAGTTATATGCTTTTAGAAGATAAGTCCATTTACTAGCAAAATATTTTCTACTCTTCTGTTTAGAATAATAGCTATTGATGTGGGCAAGAGATTGTCTTTCACTCTCTTTAAATTTGAAACCCTCAAATATAAAACTTTTACTCTGGAATTTTCTTCTAAATGTACCTTTTCTCTTAACCCCTATTATTAACTAAAATTATTTTTAAAATTACAGTGAAATTTTTATTAGCAAACAAAATTAAGAAAAGACACCAAGCTGGGTATAGTGGTACAGTTTACAGCCTCAGCTCTTTGGGAAGCTCAGGCAGGAAGGCTGCTTGAGCCCAGAAGATCAAGGCCAGCATGGACATAAAAATGAGATCCCATCCCGAAAACTAGAAAAGGAAACCAAGGTGCTTCCCAAACCCTTTCTGCTTGTCTGGACTTCTTGTCTGTTCAAACTTCCCTCCTGCCCAACTCAGGTCCTAAAAACCAATGTGTTCACCTGCATAACATATTTTACCTTTTCCTCACATTCAAAAGCTGAGTATGCAAGCTAGAAAGTACTCGCACAAATATGAGCACACTGTTGTTTTTGTACTAGGGTAGACACAGTCAACATCCAGAAGCCAGACACTATACTAGGTGGAGGGATGATGCAGAAATTAAAAAGGCTGAATTCTCTATGTTGAGAAACTTTAGTTGTTTAAAGGATCAGCCAATGATGCAGTGAGAGTTATGGGGGGGGGCCGGAGGGGCACATTAATCCCCTAGGACTGTTATAAATGGGGTGGCTTGTGAGTAACAAAAGTTAATTTTTCACAGATCCAGATCAGGGTGCGGGCAGAACTGGGTCTGGTGGTGCTCACAGGCAGCATCTTATAGAATCCCTTATAAATGGTAGCATCTCCAGATGTAATCACCACCCAAAGGCCTCTGCACAAGGCCATCAGTTTGATTCCCTATACCAAAACAAACATGATATATATGTGTATATATATATATGTGTGTGTGTGTGTGTGCAAATATATATATATATGCAAATATATATATATATATATGCAAATATATATGCAATTATAAGGCTAAAATGACTATGTTATTTTTGATGTAGTAAAATATCTTTTTAGCTCACAGACTCAGACTGGGTCTTCTAGTGTCAGTCATGCAGAAGTATCAGGTGCTAACTGAGCAGCGTGGGCACACTGCCACTACTGCTCCCCAGACTACATGGGCAGTGAGCCCAGGTAAAATCCTAACTCGTGCCTTACTGAATGCTCAGAAAGGCAACGGAAAGAAACATGTCTTCTACCAGGCATGTCTGTCATTAAATACTAATCTCAAACTGTTTTTAAAAACCAAGAGAGCCCCTGATTGACATGTTTTGAAATTTGTTTTAGTTTTTTTGCTCCTTGAAATAACATGGATTTGGGGGGAGGGGAAGAAAACCATTTAAATACACCGTTTTTTTCATTACTTACTCTATCAAGCGCTTTGGGGACGAGCTGCTTTGATGGAATTCGTCAGCATCATAGAACTCATCCTCACTGCTTGAGTATGAAAACTCGGGGACGGTATTTGGAGACAAGTTGACATGGCTTGGAGAGGTCAGACTGCTACTAGGTGGTGAATGCCCACTGCCTATGAAATTCAAAAGGCTTGATTAGGGGGAAATATTGGTAATGAGATAATAGGACCAAAACAGACCTTTCTAAAATTAGAAAAGTATTGGGTTAAGGTGGTAGAATTCTACACTATATGTAAAGAAAATCATTTAAACTGAGACAACAAAAAAAGGCAAACTGTGTTAAAAAAGGGGACACAGCCATTTAGATAAATGAAAAAATTCTGACTATTCTATAATTCGTTCACTTTTAATATTAGGAAGGGATTTTGAGAGTTCTAGTGTTGAAGATGTACAATAGAAGACCAGTTATCAGTGGGAAGGCCACGCTCTTATTTTATATTATGGACTCATATATGTAGTGTCGATGAAAATATGACATGGAAAGAACATCAAGATCACATGAATGTTAAGATCCTGTTTGAAATATCAAACTCACACTCATTTGTCAGGGCTGCGACAAGGAAAAAACACTGCATAAAGCCCTACAGATTCCACTAAGATTCTTCCTTCTGCCAAAAAGTAATAATGTTTATTGTGGAAATTCCACGGATTGCTCACAGTAACAAATAACTTTTAGTTATTTTTTTCCCTCAGTATGAGAAATAAACACTCTCTTACTGAAACAGGAAAAAGCAGACCTGTAGTTTCAAATAAGTAACAAGCAAATACCCTAAGTTAGGATGGCGAACCCTTTAGAGCTTTCAGTGATGACAGAAGCCTGCAGAGACATGTTTGCCACCACTGGCTTAGGGGATCACAGAACTGCCAACGCAGCTAAGAAGATGTATTTCAGAGTGAACTGCACACCGGTGGGCATTTCCTCAGGAACGCAAATACCATGATTTCTTAGGTGTTCCTTTATTTCTTTTTTTATGTTAGTAAGAAAGAGAAAGGAAAGGTAGAGATAAGGAAAGTCAAGGTAGAAATTACATACAAATTTTTAAAAATTTCCTTAAACCCATCTATTTTAAAATGTTAGTAAAACTTGAGATACCTTCTTTTAAAAATTATTTTGGAAGATAACCACTTTGTGTATGTGTGTGTGTGTTGTTGTTGTTGTTTTCTCAGAAGTTAATCTTTATTTTTGGGAAATAATCCACACTAAAATTCATAAACACATGAAAAGGCTCCTCAGATTTTCAAAGTTAGTCATTAGTTTCACATAGTTCCAAACGACAAATGTTGGCTGTTTTACAATTCTAAAAAGAATGTCTTATGAAACCCAAGTTAAAATTACAGGGACAATTTCTAACGTGAGTAAGATATGACACAGTTTATGAACTACAGAAGCCAGTGAAAAACATTTCAACCTTGTTATTCAAAGTGCTTTATCAGCATTTCCCCAAGAGCTTCAAGAGCAGCTATGCTCAGAAAAGCTGTGACAGAATGTTACAATTTTTTTGTCTGTGAAAATTCAGAGGGCATCTGCCCAGCTGTTAGACAGTAAATACCAAGTAACAAAACAGCAATAGTGCCTACAGTAAGGCAAAATTTTAAGATCTTAAAAAAACATCACATGGCAATTTCTCATTACTGCACAGGCACAGTCCCCTCATAAAAGAAGTCCATGGAGGAGTAAGAGGGACGAGTTCCCACTTACTCAGAGTGGTTCTGGTTTTGGCTTCTAAGTTTAACAGGATCAAAAGCAACTAAGTGTTTCCTGGAGTTCTACTTTTTTAGTTAGTATAATGTAAATTTTGTAAATTTTAAACCAAGAAATAAATCTGGTATCTGATTTTTTCTCTGTAAAATTAGAGAAAAAATATAGTATTTCTAAACAAATTACAGAAAAATAAATTTAATTGTCCTTTTTCTGCCTATAAAATTGGAAAAATGTGAAACAAACCACTCCGAAGGCGCTGCACACATCATCAGTGAAGTGCAAAATACTTGAAACGACTAACTATCCATCAGTGGAAAAACATCTGCTCAGAAAAGCTGTGAAAGAATGTTACAAGCAAGTGTGTGGCTGTATACTTATAATTCTGGCTACTGGGGAGGCTGAGCAGAGAATTTTAAGTTTCAGACAAGCCTGAGCAGCTAGATTATTGAAAAAATAAAAAGGGCTTGGTTGGGGAATAGTTCACTGGCAAAATGCTCTCATGAAGCCCTGAATTCATTCCCCAGTACCAGGGAGACTAGAATGCGACAGACCACATTATGTAAACATGAAAAGCTCTCTAAATTCTCTACAAAAAGGAATCGGACACCGAAACATAAAATCCCATTCAGGTTAAAACAAATTATACACTAGAGGTGCAAGCAAACGTGTGCAAAGACTCTCAGTCTTTGCTTTGTATATTTCTGTACTGTCTGATTCCTTTACAAAAGGAAAGTACGCAATTCTAATGAGCAAATTTTGTAAAATAATTCAGTATAGATCCCACAAACAATTCTTTTTTTGTCTTTTTCCTTTTTATCGGTACTGGGGATCCAACTCACGACTGCCTGCTTGCAAGGCAGGCACTTATGCCACTGAGCTAAATCCCCAGCCCCCACACAAACAATTCTTAAGAACACAAACAAAACACTATAATGTATTATTTTATTTAAACAATAGTGACTTACTAAAGCTCCTGGTTCATTCACAAAGGGAATCACTTTGTGTATGGAACCTTAACCTAAGCTATCACTAATAGTAACATATATCACATTTCTTCCAACCTTCCCCATCAGCAGACAAACATAAATCTCAAACGTTAATGGAAAGCTATGAGAAGGAAAAGTCACACGAGTCCGTACCTGTACTATTTGGTGTTGGAGTCTGGTGATGTCCCAAAGCACCTAACACAGGCCCAACGGGTAGGGAAGATGGACGCTGCTCTGATTTACACAGCGGGGCAGGTTCTAGGTTGAATATGTGAAACAAGTTAGAGAAAAGCCAAAGGTACACTGTATTATTTGCAATTACTTGGCATTCAAAATCCTAATGAGCAGAGATTTCTGAAACAGTATTTGCTTAAGGCAAGTTCTGTGATAAATTCTCTCTGGCTTTCCAGCATCTGATTCAGTGTTGACATGCTACAGAGCACACAAGTGGGACAATGTGAGACCAGGCACAATGGGCTAACGTTCCAGGAAGACTGCTGTGTAAAACCAGTAAATGCTGCTGATAAGCTATTTCTAAGTCTTGTATAACACAGAATCTGAACCAGGTCAGTTTTTAGTCCCCTAAGAAAGTATTAAGCTTGTTCTCTTAAGGAGAAAAACTCTATGAAAGGATTTCACATACTATCAGTCAGTATTTCAAACAAGATTTTTCCTTTTATAGAGTGTGGCTTCACTATGTCATCACTGAGAACACAGAAATGTTGGATACAACGAAGATCCAAAAAGTATCACTGTACCTAAGCATTAAGCACTCTTTTGTAAGTTTTTTTTTTTAAAAAGCAGTACTTGTTGCTCTATTCTTAAAAATACAGGCATCATTTAATTAGAAGACATCATGAATTTCGCTGTTTTTTCATTATCTTAAAATCCACTGTAAATAAAACATTCATACTTTTTAGATTATAAAGAATACTCAAAGATTGAATGTTCCAGGATTATTCCAAGGTTATTTGCTTGATACCCATGAATTCTGATTCACACAATTCTGTCTGCCCAGCAAAACCAAGTCTCAGCCACCATGCTGTCTTTCACCTTTGAAAATCCAAACCCCTTCCATCATACTTCAAAAGCCCCAACCCCAAAATACAGTAATCTTTTTTCCAGGTGCTTTTTAACGACATCATTTTTCTTTTGTGATTGCTGTATTTAAAACACAGAGGAAAAAAGTTATGATTACTACAATGATGCCTATAGATTACAGTCATTTGCTCCCTCATTATGAGTCTGTGACACATTTTTCCAAAACCATACCTGGAGGTAACACAGTCTGGGAAGGCATTGTGCTGATCACAGGTTCCAAGGGACTAGGTTGATATATTGCATCTACAGGGTTAATAGTGCTCTGAGATAAAGAAACACAGTATAGTTATTTTAATTGAATGTCCTTCTCAGGTTGACCCACCCAACTGAGTGAAATGCCCACATTTCTGACAGCAAAATCCTGAGAATAGCTATATAGACAAGTTGGTCAAAACGCAGAGAAAATGAAACATTTTTTTCTATACAGAGGTGCCAAGGTTTCTTCCAACAAAGCACAGTAAGGAAGGAAAAGATAAAGCTAAAGGAAAAACTTAGATGGAGCTGTAAAATAATGCACGAGACTTCAGACAACCGAAACACTAACTTATTAATTCAATACAGTGCTTTAACATTTTGTTTCATGTTAATCACCACTGAATCTATCAGGAGCTAAGGTACCTGTGTCACTAGGCTCCCCCACTTCCACTACTACCCCAGAACATGTCATAAAGAACAGGTATCCAGCTACAGATCACTCACAGGAAAGAGGCACCAAGGAAGGCTTTTCTTTGTAAGATTTCAAAGAAAAAGATATTGACATATGTATTAATAATTTTAAGAGGGAAAAAAGCCCAGGTCTCTGTAATTCAAAGCCAAGAAATTATTCTGACAGCAAAATGGCATTTTAAAGACAAAGCACTGTAACTTGTTTTGTGTGTGTATGTGTGTGTGTGTGTGTGTGTGTGTGTGTGTGTGTGTGTGTGTGTGTGTGTTTTGAGTGGGGCCAAGAGTCTAGATGAATTCGCAAAAACTCAAAAACACCTAACACTGAAAACCAGGTAAACAGCAAAACTTGTGTGGCATTCTTATTCAGCATCCATTAAAAAAATCAAGAAAGCAACTATTGGTATGCACCTGTACCGGGTTGAAGGCCAGCCTGGAAAAAATATCAAGACCCTGTCTTGAAAGAGAAAGAGAGGAAAAGAAAAGAAAAGAAAGAAAAGAAAAGAAAAGAAAAGAAAAGAAAAGAAAAGAAAAGAAAAGAAAAGAAAAGAAAAGAAAAGAAAAGAAAAGAAAAGAAGGGTGGGAGAGAGAATGAATAAGGAAAAGAGGAAGGGGAACCTGGCTCTGTGTGTGGCTCAGGACTACCTGGGTTCCAACCCCAGCAGGAGTAGAGTGTCATGTGGGAGCATCTTCTAACTAAACATTTACACATTATTAAATCAGATCTCTTAAATCAAGTGATTTGAACATAAAATTCTGATTATCACTATAACTGTCTACTTACCATAAATATCCTTACTGTTACGGTTTGTGTCTAGATGCTTCTAACTCCCCCCCAAGCCTTACACAGTCATAGATGGTGCTTTTTCAAAGGTGGCTGGATCTAGGGTGTGTGATTATTAAAGCAGTCCACTGATTGGTTTGCCACTGCCCTATTCCTGGTACCCTAGATACAATATTAAAAGGGGCAGAAAGATGTTGTTAAGGGCGCATGCTTGCTTTGCTACTTTCTCTTTACCATAAACTTGGAACAAGCTGATTATGGACTGAAACCTCTACAAATTGTGAGCTAAATAAAATAAATCTTTCCCCCTTTAGCTCGGGATGACAGGTGTTTTGTCTCAGCATTGAAAAAAGTAACTGAGACACTAACTGAAAGACACACTTATAGAAGATATCCTGTAAGCAATCATTAAAAATCAAAAACTTACCCTGACATGGTAGCACATGCCTATAATCCTAGGGGACTGAGGCAGAAAGATTGCCAAGACTTTGAGGCCGGCCTCAGCAATACAGCAAGTTTGAGCAACCTGATCTACTAGCAAGATCCTGTCTCCAAAAAAGTGGGAAAAATAAAATAAAATATCTAAATGAGTGGAATGTTCTGAAGCATTGAGAAAAGTATTAGAAACAGAGGCCTAGTATTTTAGTTCTTAAGAATCTGCAAATATTATTAGTTTTTCAGTCTAAAAAATGAAAAGAATCTGGATTACATACTCTTGAAGGAATTTCTAGTTATGATTCTATTTTTAGATGAGTCTGGGCACATTCAGGGGGGTATGGCCACAGACTATGATTTGATTATAACTAAACAAGTCCTGGAACTGTCTGGAACATAAACATCTTGTTACACAGTGTTTTTTTCTCAAGAACTATGTGCGTTAACAAAGGGAAACTCTTACTAGTAATGTCTCAGTCACAAGTCAGAATTGTATCTTTTGGATGTAATCTTTCCCTCCTTTCCATATAAAATGTTCTAACATTAGGCTTGCCAACCAAGGAAAACACTTTTAAATTGTCTGGCACTGTTAAACAAAATTATGGAAGACCCCTGGTTTGGACTGAGTTCCTGCACTAGACCCCAACAGACAGACCAAACTGAGATGGTCACTCATGCTAGATGTCACATAACCAAGCTGAAGCTTTAAGAAGCAGGTGGATCTCCAAACAGTCAAGCTTTTCCTCAGCATAGCTCTTCATTCTACCTGAATCAGCACAATAAAGTCCTCTCTACTTTAACCAGGTCATCATCAGTTTTGTGATAGTTCCGTTTTCTTCTTTCCACCTTACAAAATCCACCGTTTTATGAACTGCCCAGTAGGTCTTCCATCCATCTTAATACAATGAGAGGCTCCACAATCCATGAATCACAAATAAGAGGTAATCGCATCTATTTGTTATAATTTTGCCTTTTTTGACATCTGTATTAAAGGTACTTGTCTTTTCATTTTTGATAGAAAAAATATTCTACTCATCAGCAGTCTGGTCAATCAACCTCAGGCTAACATATGTGAAAAGTCAATGTGCAGAGCTTCAAAAGTGCAAACAATAATCCTCAGCCCTAATCCCCTGGGACATTAATGAAGTCCATACACAACAACATGTGAATTATGCATACGTTAGGTACATACAGCTAATGTTTACGGAATATTATCTGTTCTGTATCTTACACTAATATTCAGCTCTAGACACAGATGAGGAAAAGAAGATGCAGAGAGGATAGTTTGTCACTCATAGATGGTGAGTGGCAGGGTATTATGTAAGCCCCAACAGCCTGATCATAAACACTTCCTTTCTTTGAATTAAAATCTCTTACAGAAAAATGCAATAGCTCCTGAGCAAAGAATGTGAGCATGTTTGTTTTCAAGTTTAAATTTTCTTAGTATAAAATTTCCAAGAGTTCTTAATTGCAAATGATCAAACATTTCTGGTATGTTTTTATTTTAAAAAAGATCATGCCTATTCTTAAACAGAATTTGTATTTGAGGGCAAAGAGAAACGTCACTGCAAACACATTTCCTCAGGAACAGTCTTTCACAGGATCCTCTTCCACGCCTGCCACATCTCAGGCAGTAATTTATATTGTATAACTGTATTACAGAATTGTATCACACTGCCAGTGCTTGCACTTAAACAGAGAAATAGAAATTGCTACATTTTATTTGTATTTCAAAAAATTTTATGTGTTTTCTTAAAAAAAACACAACACAGACACCTAAATTTTCTGCTTTCAGATTTAAATCAAATGCAATGATAATGTGCTCATCCTTTCCCAGCAATCATGGGATGGTTTTGAAGATGCAAAAAATGTATTTCTAGGTCTCAGAAACATTGGCATTTGTAAAGTTTCAAGAGAAAAATAAAAGCTGCTTCCTGCTTCAGAACTAGTCTCAAAAGACTTAAGAGTTTATCAGAGGGGTCAGGGATTTAGCTCAGTGCCAAAAGCACTTGCCTTGTAAGTGCGCAGTCATGAGTTTGATTCCCAGTACCAATTTTAAAAAAAAGTGTGTGTCAGAAAACTAAAGTAACTCAATCTACAAATCTTCAAACTCTTAAGAAATTTTTATTTTCAGCTGAGAAATACTGACGAACTTTTTGGTTGATTTTTTTCATTTTGTTTTGTTTTTGAGACAGGATCTCACTGTGTAGTGCGGGCTGGCCTTGAACTCGCTTATACAGCCCAGGCTGGCCTCAAACTCACAATGATCCCTCCTGACTCAGCTTCACAAGTACTGGTAATACGGGTAGGTGCCACCACATCTGCCAAATTTTCAGATTTTTAAAGGGGAAGTTGAACATAAAGGATAAAAAGCTAAGAAGAAAGAAAGAAGAAAAATCTGTAAATGAAAGAATTCATGGGGCTGGGGGTTTAGCTCAGCAGCACAAGCTCCTGCTTGGCAAGCATGAGGTCGTGAGTTCAATCCCCAATACCAAAAAAAAAATTTTTTTTTAAATTAAGAACATGTTGTAACTTGTTCCAACAAGAATGTAACAGTGACAGATCACACAATATATAAAATCTAAAAATAAGGATCTATAAACATATTTAAGTAGACTAAGGAATGTTTCAATACTGCATTCTTTCCCTTTGCTTTCATCTCAGAAAAAGAAGAAATTTGACAAGAAACAAAGCACAGTGCAGAAACAAAGCACAGTGTGTTATCATTTCATTGTAAAACCTGAGCTGACATACCATGATTACCCTCCAAGTTAACGCATGCAAAGTCACTTAATCAGAACCAATATTTAGAATACTTTTAAGATTGCTGTTCCCCTCCAAATGACTGTGAAAGATGGCCAACTTTAGGAGCTCAAAGGAAATTGCAAGAGTTAAAAAGAAAAAGCAGTGAGGAGTGCAAAGAAGAATTTGCGTTGAAAAAATGAGTACAAATTCAGGCTTCTCGTGACATGACTGGTTATAAGGCTCTGCAGAAGTAAAAGAAACAGAAAGATTAGATTAAACTTACTATAAGTCCATCTGCGTGCATCTCCGCATTACTCTGGTCCTTAAGGAAAAACGTTAAAAATATTAACTTTATTCTACATTTAAGTAACTCTATGTACCTTTCCTACTAAGGAAGCTTATCTCACTAGGTAAAGTAATAACGTAAGAACACTACTCTAATTCCACTATGATTTTAATTCCATTAGTACATTCCTAGCCAAACATAACTATCACTGCTACACAACAACTAATATCAGTAACATGATAATTATTTTTCTATGGAGGCATTTAATTTTGTTGAGGAAATACAAATATAGTCACAAGAGAACTCAGAATTAAAAGCAGAGATAATAAGTTTAGGAGTAAAGATCCTCAAAATCTCTAAGTTTAAACTTTATGGTAAGAATTATGTCAACTCCTCACGGTTCCCAAACTCTTACTGTGTTCTGAAGGTATAATAATCATACACCTTGAAAAGATGCATACAATGTCACATATTTCTGATTACTGGCCTTAGAACTGTACTTTTCTAGAGATGTTCTGATTTTTGCTTCAACACAGGTACAGTACTCATACAAGGATGATACAACACGTAATATACATGGTAGCTATTTTGCATATATTAATTCATTAACTACCCTACAACACAGGTACTATTATAATTCCTACTTGACAGATATAAAAACTTATAGAGGGAGCCAGCATTCTAATATAGGCACTCTTGTTGTAGAATTCACACTCTTAACCAGCATGCTATCTTGCCTTGCCTCTCCAAAGATATACTTGAGTAAGAGGTGGAGAGCTGTGTATGCGCGAGTGTGCACATGCACACACATGTAACTGCACGTGAAGGCACCCATGTGTACCCCGCACTCTTCTATCCTCCTCCTTCCCCTTCTACTCTGCCAGGCTCCTGGACCAGTGCCCATACATCTGCAAGGAAGGAGCAGGCTTTGGACTGCCTCATCTGATCAGGAATGGAAGAGTACTTCCCGGATAGACTAAGTAATGATCAGGGATCAGGGGATGGCCTATGTGATGAGAGAAACCTACAAGAGAAAAAAGAAATCTTTTAAAATATTCGAAGGTTATACTGTATGACTGATATATTTTTACAACACTACAACCTAAGAAAACTATTCTTTTTGGATTTCCTAATGTTCATTCACATACATGGTATCTTTATCTTTAAGAGGTTCTTATGATTAAAGGAGAAATGTAGAGTTTTTATTTGGGGGAGGTGCTAGGGATCAAACTCTGTGCTCTGTGCATACTAGGAAAGAGCTCGACCACTGAGCTATCATATCCCCAGCCCAGGAAAGTGTTTTTAAATAAATTACAAAGTTTAATATAAAAATCTATTTTGTTTGTTTTTTAGGCAGGGTTTCCCTATGCAGTCCAAGTTGGCCTTGACCTTGCTGTCCTCCTGTCCCAGCCTCCATAAAAGTTGGGATTATAGATGTGCTCTACCACACTTCACTTAAAACCCACTGTAACTATTACTTCATTTTGGCTTTTTGAGACAGGGTCTCACTACATAGTTCAGGTTGGCCTCAAACTTCTAGCAATCCTCCTGTCTTAGCTCCCATCTCAAAACAATTATCTTTTAGTATTATAGACACAATATATTTAAATAAGATGTTTAAAGTTTTAACTCTATCCTAGCTGAAAGCCTTCAATTTTAATAGAAACCAGTCGTTAGTCTTGGTTTTTTGTTTTGTTTTTGTGACAAGGTCTTGGTGTCAAACTGTCCTGACCTCACTTATGTACACTAGGTTGGCCTTGAAGTTATGATGATCATCCTCCTGCCTCAGCCTCCAAAGTGCTGGGATTACAGACATGTGCTACCATGCCCAAATTGATTTTAAATTTAAGAGCTGAGTTTTGATCTCATTTACAGACACAGACAGACAGACACACCCAGCACTAAGAATTTAACCCAGGGTTTCATATGTGCTAAAGCAAGTGGTCCACCACTGAGTTACATACACCCCAGTCGTTGAATACCTGATTCCTTCTTGCTCTGGAATGGTGCGAATGCTAGCAGATAAAGCCCATATGACAGGCCTCCTGCAAACATGCTAGGCACAAAGTCTCTAGCAAGCTTCCCTGTAGACATTTCACATGTACATGTGTTGCTACGATCTGCCATTGGAGTAATAAACACACCTTTTATAAGTATACAAGAAGACTTGGAAACCTGTGCTTTACTTCCTCTGGATTTTTTCCTTATGTATCTTTCCCTTACATTGCTTTTTGCTGTAATAAATCAAAGCTCTGAACCTTTCTATCTAATCTTCAAACTTAAGAGTTGTTTTTGCGAACCCTTAGCACAGTACATATGCCACTACATAATTCAAACTGGTATTTTCCCTTTTACATGCACAACTGAATTAACTATATAAAGTATCCAAAGATACAGTAATTCTGATTTTAGAAATATCTGAAAAAGAACAATTAAAATTTCTTGCTCACTTGATGCAATTTTAGTTTTTCTTCTGTTTCTAAACATTAAACTGACCTTTCTAAAGTCTTGGAAATATCACACATATATCAATCTTAAATCTTCCCAAGTGGCCTATTGAAAGGCAGGGATGCTGTCATCTACTGGTGAACCTAAGTGCCTTTCTGTCTCAGTACAGGCTGAGCAATTATATGGCATTTCCAAAATGCCACAAATGTTTCTTTGCTTTCTTAGAACACGCTGACAAAGTCCCACAGCCACAAGGACTGGATGAGGGTCTGTGAGGCCACCAGACCAACTCCCCAGCCATGTAAGCAAGCCCTTGTGCAAGGAGACCCTCCAGCCCAAACAAAGCCACCACAGGTGAGGGTGAATTAAGTGGAGACAAGCTGGGAGGCCTGCATGGACTTTACATCTGTGAATAAAGCAGATGACTGCAGCAATTTCAAGACACTCAGTTTTTGGATGAGCTGCTTTCACAACAGGAGTCTGCTGATATGGTACATTAAGAAAACTAGCACTTCTGGGGCTGGGGATTTAGCTCAGCAGCATAAGCACCTGCCTTGCAAGCAGGCAGTTGTGAGTTCGATCCCTGGTACCGATAAAAACGAAAAAAAAAAAAAGAAAAAAAAAAACCTAGCACTTCCTATTCTGGTATAGCTTAAATAAATTACTGAACAGCAGATAAATTTATGCCCCAAAACGTTCTCAATTAGCACTTCTATGTGCTATCTCTAGAATAATCTAAATCAGGATTTATCACATGTGCTACCAATGTGGTTTTTGTAAGCCAGGATCAAATCTAGATGTACTCACAGACATGAAAGTTTTCATTATCATTCATTCCAGTCAGAAACTCTAGGAATTTTGTTCTATTATTACACATTGCTTATACTCTTTTTCTCCTCCCTCTTCTATCCTTTTTCACTTGTTCTGTTTTTGCTTTAGAAATAAACTGCAAGTTGTCTTTTATTGTGGCTAAAGCAAAATCATACGTTTACTGAACCACAGATTCCAATTAATTCAATATGAATTATGTTAATAAAACAAAGAAAGAATCCAGTGCTACTTCCCACTTAAATTATGTATTTATTTGGTAGTTAAGTCCCTCGTTCCTACATGAGAACACAAGAGCTAGCCTCTTTTTTGGAACACAACAGCATGGCCAAGATCTGGAAACACAGGAGGAAAGACATGAATACCACATAATCTGGAAAACTTCTTGACCACATTTCCAAACTCCTGTTGTTTTTCAGTACTGAAGACGGAACCCAGGGCCTCTGTACTGAGCTCCAGCCACAGTTCCTTTTTTATTTTGACACAGGGTCTTGTTAAGGAAGTCAGTCAGGCTAGGTAGTCCTGAATGAACTTGCCTCAGCCTCCCAGTGTTCTGGAATTAAAGGCATGCATCACCCTGCCCAGCAAATTCCAATATTTTTAAAACATGCCTATCGTTTAAAACAACAAAACACACTCCCACTTCCCTAATGAGCAGAGTGAGCTAGTAAAAGCTCTATTAAATATATGCTCACTTTAATTATATGATGAGAAGACATTTTCTAATTCAAGTTTTATGAGATTCAACAACTGGATATCAACACGAAAAAAGCAAAAACAATGAATCTGGACCTCTATTTCTCATATCATAAAAATCAACTCATGGATAGTAGATCTAAATGTAAGTCAAAATTGTAAAATACAGGGTGGGAGGCAGGGATTTAGCTCAATGGCATAAGCACCTGACTGTCAAGCACAAGGTCATGAGTTCAATCCCCGGTATCCAAAAAAAAAAAAAAAGTAAAACTTTTATACTTTTGGGTTAAGTAATGATTTCTTAGGTATACCAACAAAGTCATAAGCAATAAATGACTGGTGCTTATGAATGGTGGTGTATACTTTTAATCCCAGCCCTTAGGAGGCTGAGGCAAGAGGACTACTGTGAGTTTGGGACCAGTCTGGGCTACGTAGTGAGTTAAAAGCTAGCCTGCGCTACATCGCAAGAACCTGTCTCAAAAAACAAACACAAAAACAACAGAGAGATTGACAAATTGGACTTGATCATAATTTAATAATTTTGTGCTTCAAAGGACACTATCAAGAAAATGGTAAAACAACTCACAGACTTGAACAGAAAAACTGTACATGATGTATCTACTAGGACTTATATCAGCCCCAAATACGAAAGGTATAAAATTAAGCTCACTTATCATTCTGGGATCTTACATGGCGATGTCTTCCCCAAAGAAGCTGGCACCAGTTTTTATTAATCTGTCAGTGAATAAAAGTCCTCCAAAGTATACATAACAATTTGTATTTCTACTGGACAGAAGTTGTCTCTTTATCAACATGTGATAAAAAACATTTTAAAATTTCAAAACTTGTATCATCAATTAAAAAAATTAACGAATACATATTTGGAGATTATATGCCCTAACCCTAAGAACATCTGAAACAGTAATTTATATGGGGGGACTCACAATACTGTTAAAGAGATGGGCACTATCAATACCTCTATTACATACCACATATAAATCAAAAGCACAAAGATGATAAATGAATTCACTCAAGTGACAGAAATGAGATTCAAAGAGTCTGAGCTAAGATTATGCAAACCTGGGAGCTGGGAATATCACTCAGTGACAGAGCTCTTAGCTGGCATATCTGAGGCCCTGGCTTCAAGTCCCAGCACAACATGTGTGAAAAAGGTACCAAATGGCACTTTTCAGTTCTACTTTAAAACATTACCTCTTAGACCAAGGATACAGCTCAGCGGCACAAGTGCCTTCCTGGCATGTATAAGGTCTTGAGTTCCATTCCAAGTACCAAAAAAAAAAAAAGCTCCTAGTCACAGATTAACTGTTTAGATGTTCCAAAAGATTAATTTATAAGAATGATCATCACAGTACAGTAAAGGTGACTAAAAAAATCATTCACTAATTCAGTTATCCTATAATCTACCATGGGGCAGGCAACAACTGCAGGCACTGAGAATACAGTGATGCTGTAGATTGAATATCTGTGCTCCTCCAATTCCTCTGCTGAAGCTCCACTGCTTAAGTGGCTATATTCAGGTGAGGGGGACATGGTTCAGTAGGATCAGCAGTCTTAGACAAGAGACACCAGAGCACCTATGTCTCACTCTGTGTATCACATCAAGGGGAAGCTTCTGAAAACACAAAACATAGCATCTGAACACCCAGAAGGGAGCGCACAGTGCAAACTGAAAAGCCCAGAGCCTGGCCTTCAGCTTTCAGAAGTGTTACAAAAATCACTGTATTGGTGAAGCCACTCAGTGTGAGATGTTCTGTCCACATGGACACAAGTGTCAGACAAACAAGATGCCTGTGGAGCTCACTCTTTCAGAAAAAATAAGTATGTAAGTAAACAAAGACATCCCCTGAGTTTGGCCGGTGATACACATAAAATAAAAGAAACTAGTGGAAGTTAGAAATTATTTTAAATAAAGTACTCAGGAAAGTCTTTCCAAAGGTATTTGGTGAGGCATCAATTTGAAAAGGAGAGTCAGGAAGTGAGTACAGTAGGAGCCTACCTTGGTTTGTAGAAGAAATGGCCAATACTAAGAACTGAGACGAGAGAGCAGTGATGGCTCTGATGACATATTATCCTAAAAAGCTTAGATTTCATTCCAAGAAAGATGGGAAAGCACTAGGTACATTTGTGCCAGCAGAAGATACAGTTGGATTTAAATCAGGTTTAAAGATGCAAGGGGCTGGGGATTTAGCTCAGTAGCATAAGCGCCTGCCTTGCAAGCAGGCAGTCGTCAGTTCGATCCCTGGTACCGATAAAAACGAAAAAGAAAAAAAAAAAAAAAGATCCAATGTTCATTTAGGATGTAAACATAATTTGAAACAAAAAGCCTTAGCAACAATTAAACTTCCTTCAAACTCCACTTAATTGGCCCTCGCTTAATCAGTATGAAGGACCCTGAAACGTACATCAAGCTGAGTTACAGACGGGCTGAATATACAGACTGAACTGCCTAAGTTCTTGAAAAGAACTTCAGTAATTTCAAGTGTAACATATTTTAAAGACAGAGAACACCAAAAATGTTCTTGATGGGTAGCTAAAAGGGAAGCTCTAATGAAATTGTGGGAACTGCAGCCACATAGCCATCTAAAGTCCTGAATGATTTTCGCAGACTACCCAACGTAGCCTGCATAGTAACAGCTCTTCTGCCTCCATTTTCCAGAGAAGGCAACATGATGCAATAAAACACTGTACCTGCTCCCTCACATCAGGGATGGTGTACTCACCAGTCAGTGATCTACGGGTTTTGGCTAACTGTAGGTGCCCTCCATTCACCCAGGTAATCTTGAGAGCCAAGAAAACTAAAGCAAAATTCTTACCCTTCCCACATCTCTAAGCCTTTGTCTTAGCTTTATTCTGATTCTCAAAAGTAGAAGCAAAAGTTTACACACATAGGAAAGGAGGCACAATGGTCAAGAATCTCCAGAAGGTAAATATAAGCCCTAAATTCTGACAGTTTACCCTAACAGTAAGAATAGTCTCAAAAGAAAATGACATCCCGGGGCTGGGGATTTAGCTCAGCGGCATAAGCACCTGTCTTGCAAGTAGGCAGTCATGAGTTCGATCCCCGGTACTGATAAAAATGAAAAAGACAAAAAAAAAAAAAGACATCCCTTTCCTTTAAGTTGAACAGCCTTATTATCCAAACAAAAATGGACTATCCCATGCTACTGTGTCATTAGCAATGCTAGGGTTAGAACAGAAGTCTCTATAACTGGGCAAATGAATATATATTAGCTAAGTAGATCAATAGATAAAAACTTACACAAATGACACTCCCAAACCCAGTTGCAAAGCTGTCTATTTGCCCTGTTCTGGCTACTGGCTAGAGACAGACATACTCAGGGAAAAAGAATGAGGGAAAAACATTTTTAAAAAAATGTTTTCAAATAAATAATCTTTTTTGAAAGTTTCAGGCAATAAATATTAGAGTATGAGAACTTTCTTTTTCAGAGAAGCAAAAAATATAACATGAAAATTTTAACCTACAATAATTCAAAACACAGTTTCATGAATAATAGAACACCAATTAAAGTATTAGTTCATTAATGTAGTTTACCATTCAAAAGTAATTTTAACACAGTCCTAAAACACTTAAAAAAAAAATCTCTCTTTTGCTCTCAATGGGGCTGAGGAAAATAATTTTGCTAAAACTTAATGGCTTTTATCTTCTCAGAGAAACAGATGGCCCAGGTTCAAGGTGCTATAATGGATAAAATAGGAAGAAAGAGTGAGTCAAATTTGCCCCCTTCCTCCCTTAGACACCATAAAATACTGGTAGAAACCAGATGCATGTAGGAAATATAACACATAAACACAAAAATTGTTCAACAAAATAAGGAGCCCATTAAATCATTTTATTGTAGAAAGGTAGTATTATAGAATGAAGTCTTGTGGCTATTAAAGAAAAAAATGCCATTTTAAAATCCATGACATGAAGGTAATCAAAAGTGAAATTTACTTACTTTAGCAATTTGCAGCAATACAATGCAGTGTTTAATTGATTCTACCATGCTCTACAAAAAACAAAACACTGGCTTTAGGATCTTGCTTCAAATAAAATGGTCATATGATATTAAAGAATAAATTCAGTCCAGGTAGCCTATACTACACAACAAATAACTTCTGGATATCAGTGAGTTCTGATATGCTGATAGGGTCAAATGAAGTTATCCATTAGCAATGCTGTGAAGGAATGCTAAAACACACTGTTCATTTATATTGAATAGCATAGTAATTTTCAACACCCAAAAGAAAAACAGATGCAAGTCTGATTAATTTTCATATTGTGGATCAATAGCAACTCCACTACACTTAAGGTTCATGGAAGTATGGGGAATAAAAAAATCCCATCAAAATATTAATAACCTATAATACTATCTTGCCTGCTTTAAGAGACTTTTACCAAGATACGAATCTCACCCCTAATCTATCAGATTAATGTCATGTCAGTACATTCCAAAACCTGAATCACAACATATTTTAAGAAAGAGAATATAAACAAATTGAGTATTCCTAACCCAAAATCCCAAATCCAAAATGCTCAAAAACCTATAACTTTCAGAATGCTGACATGATGCTTCAAGTGAAAAATTCCACACCTGACCTCAGGTAGGAGGTTACCCTAAAAATATAGGCACATTAGAAGTACTATTTTAAGGGGCTGGGGATTTTGCTCAGCGGCATAAGCGCCTGCCTTGCAAGCAGGCAGTCGTGAGTTCGATCCCTGGTACCAATAAAAAGGAAAAAGACAAAAAAAAGAAGTACTATTTTAGAAAATGATATACAGGCTATGTGTATGAGGTATATATTAGACACAAATAAACTTCATGTTTATACTTGGATTTCCTTCCCATGACTATCTCACATTATATGTAAATATTTCAAATGCCAAAAATATCTGAAATTAGAAATTCTTTTGGGTCCTAGGAATTTCAGGTCAGGTATACTCAACCTGTATTGTGCAGGCATGACAACTTTTATCCAAGAATCTCATACAGACAAGATCGGAAACATAAAATGGCATATGAAGTCAATTTCAGCTAGAGAGATTTTAAAATTAAATTCCCTCAAACAATAATACAATTCTTAAATGTGCCTATAAAATGCATAAAATACCTCAGTTGTTCTTATCAATAGTAGTGTTGTAAAATAGGAAATTGTAAATCACCATCTAATGGAAAATCAGGCTATCAAACACATATAACTTACATTTGTTGTCTCTTTGAGTGTTTCGATTTTCTGTGAAAAATAATTTAAACAGAAATAATCAGAAACAAACAGTTACCCTTTTTTTGAGACAGGGTCTTGCTATGTAGTTCAGGCTGGCCTTGAACTTGTAGCAACCTTCCTGCCTCAACCTTGTTAAGTGCTAGGATTACAGATGTGTGCAAGCACACCTGATTATTTTTTACTCATTAGCCACTTAAAGAATTTTACCAGAATATAGCCATTATTGTAAGTGGATATAGTTGGGAAGAAATTATTTTTGTTATTTTTGTTGTTGTTGTTATTTTCAATCTAAATAAAATATTTAAATAAAAACTCCAGACATTCTCAGACCTTCTTAAACAAAATTCATATGACTCAAGATTTATAAGAATAAAGTAAAATATTATTTCTTTCCTGAAAACAAATTCCATCTTTTCTATAGATTTCATTATGTGATTTCAGTATTTTTTCCCAAATTACCTTAACCTTTCCTGTTTTTTTTACTTTGTGTTACTTTTTCCAAAAGTAACAATTAATGGAAGGTAACTCAGAACATGAGTTATTATTGGTCTAGAACAGTCAGATGGCATGGCTTCCACAGTCAATGGAAAGGCAAAATATTAGTGATGCCTCAGAAAGACTAAGCCCAAGAGACAGAAAATGTGATTTAGAAAAGAGAAAGCAATATGCACAATGACATGATATATGTACAAAATTCAAGGGGGCTTGAAATGTAGAACCACTTGTTTATTCATATGTTGCTGCTTCTTGTTTATTCTAAAAATACTTGGTCATTAGTTATTACTATATGAATTAACCACATGTAAATTTAATAAAAATCATTTTCTATTTGCACATTATGGGCAAGAAAAAACTTACTACTAGGAATATGGGACTTACAAAAAAAGAATTAATGTTTGCACATTACCCTTTTAATTATCAAACTGTAACAGATATTTACCAGAAAACTCCTGAGTCTATATTACGTAATAATTAGTCAGTAATATTACTCTACGAGTCAAAATACTGACAGAGGAAGGAGTAAGGGAAAGTAAAAGAATTAAGACATGCTATGCACATGCACCAACCAACACACTAGTGATACAAACATAATAATATGTAGTCAAAATACTGAATTAAATACTGGACTAAACAGAAAACAAAAATAATGATGTAATTCTGTTGTTTCTCCAACACACTTCTGGACTTAAATTTTTTTGGTAAAAATCATAGAAGTTACCTTTCTCTGTTCATCATCTTTACAGTTTTGAAGCTTGTCGTCAAAAAGCTACAGGATTTAAAAAAAAAATGATTATAGTATCAAGCCACATTAGTACAATGTGTATATTTACTAAACATGGGAACCTACAGTAATCCTTAAACACACTTTGGGTGAGTGGGGTTACCAGAAATCAAACTCAGGACCGCTCCCTTGCCAGAGAGGTACTCAGCCACTGAGCTAAAATCCCCAGCCCCTTAAACACACTTCTTACATGGATGATTTGTAAGTATTTTCAAGACCATGCAGTTTTTTGTTTTCTTAAGTCATGGTCTGTTTTTCAAGGCATTCAATTGTATGAATGAATGACTATACAAAGTTAAGGCCAATCATTCAGGTAGGGTTACAAACAAAACACAAGATTTTTAAGAACTTAAAAGTATTGATTCAAACTCAAATTTTCTGTTTTAATCAATTGAACTCCTTTTTCTTCCAGAACCTCTACTTTTAATTTATTTAAAAGCAGAAACTGCAGGAAACTATTTTAGCTAGAATAAAGGAGATAAACAAGTCATCCTCCTATACTCCTCCCCCAAAATGTAAAAACCAATGTTTTACTTTATATAAATTCAATATGTAAAGTAGTACCATACCTTTAGTTGTTCTATCAAGATCTGTAGGTAAGCATCAGCCTCCGTCAGTTTTTTGTCAAAGTCTTGCACACTAGGAACAAACCCTGAATCTAAACCCTAGAAAAGAAGAAAATATGCAGTAAATTTATTGGCACCCAAGCAATGTTTACAATACACAGAATACTTCAGACACGAAATACTTCAATTTTAAAAATAGAAACAATACTTTTATATGAATATTGTAATAGGTCTACTTAAATAATCTACATTCTTCAAAAATAATGGTACTAATGTGCTGGCACGTGCCTGTAACACCAGCACTCTAGAAAGTTAGACCAAGAGGATCACAAGTTTAAGCCTAGTCTGGGAAACAGTGATGCAGCAAGAAAGACCTTGTCTCAAAAACAAAATGTAAAACAAAAAAACATGGTGTGGGGATGTAGCTCAGTATGAAGGCCCTGGATTCTGTCTCCAGTAACACACACATTGTGGTACATCAACTTTCAAGTGCTATTATCTTTTCATCCATTATATTTGCTGGTGGTCAAATAAAGATTTGCTGTTCAGAGTCTTTTTATTTTAAACCCAAATCTCCATAAATGGCTGCCACTCAGTACTAGAGCAGCAGTGATTTAGTTAATGGGACATAAAAACACCTAAATTATTACCGCCTCCTCTTCCCCATTTTTGGGTCAGTTTATTCCTCTATTCTCTTAATCTTAACTTCATATTTTCATATTCTTACTGTTTAGGTTTCCTATTCCTATTCTTTAACCCACTCCATCAGCTCTATCCTTCTTAAAAAGGAAAGGACTCCCTTCTCAACAGCCCCCTTCTAGGTGAAAATGACAATACTTCTCTACTAACCAAACTCTCCATTTACTTTTGCCCGTGATATATAAACACCACACTTTGGACACAGTATAAATTTTAATTTATTTAGAAGACCCACTAATTTTTTTTCTAGGTCTAAAAGTCCAACTTTGACATGTGCTACTTTTTATATACCTATATTTAAGTTCCAAGAGCACAAAGGATTCCTATGTTTTAACTTCACACAAAAGAAATTCTGAGAGCTTAATAATCTCTGACTGAAAAACACACCAAATGTTAGGCGTAGAAGACAAAATAGAGAAAACTAGACTATCCGCTTGCCATATATGCATTCCCAGGTGTTACGCATTGTTAAGCAGGGGCGTAACGGTAAAGAACTGCCACTGTCAGAATCCTAACCCCACCACAGAATTTTGCACTAAATGGGTAAAATACAGTTCAATATACTCATCTCAACCCTGACCTTGTCATATTTTCCCTGCCTCTGATCAAAGCATGCTACACATTTTATACTCTTCCCCACTTTAGTAAACAGAGGCCAAAGTTTATTTCATGGTACAGCAATGCCTATCCTTGTATACATAACACTAGCTCAAAACACCAAACTGAGACAACAAGGTCTTGCAGAAGCAAAAATGGCTTAGCCACCTGGTTTCTAAATCCAGCTCAGTCACCAACAAGATATAGTACTGTGGCTCTCAATCTTAGGTCTTCTTACTTATAATACATCTTTCTTTTACTATGGTTAGCACAGCACCTATTTTATTTAATCAGACAACAATAACTCATCAATTAATAATATTACTACTGTTGTTCTCTAAAATTCTGATCCTAATCTTAAAAATTCTTTTTATTTTGAGACAGGATCTTACTGTGTACTTCAGGCTGGCCTTGAATTCACTGTATAACCCAAGGTTACCTTAAACTCACAGGCATCCTCCTGCCTCAGCCTCCCAAGTGCTGGGATTACAAGCATGAGGCACCATTCCCATCTTTTAAAAAAAATCTTACATTTTGTTTAGAACATGATAAAAATCAACTTATCTGGTAACATTTTCTTCTTTAAATATAAAGCTAGTAAATTTGCCTACTTATTTTTTTATATGTAGGTAAAGAAAGCACTTGAAAAAAAGCCATTTCCGGATAAGTGATTAATTAAAAACAAAGTTTAAAGACGGAAAATCCCAATAATGTATACGCAGTCTAGGTTCTGTGTGTGTGTGTGTATAGAGTTTAAACGTCTTCTTTTTAAAGATAATCCAAAGAACTTCCTATTAGAAACCTTCACTATGTAGAGTAATGAGAGCAAACACATAGGAAAGGATGCCTAAGCACACTGTATTCCACACAGAACAGTGGGAGACAACGTTTATTGCTGTGTCACCATATCCCAGATAAATTAGAAATAGTGCTTGGCTTGGTTTTTGTTTTGTTTTAGGAAGAACTATAAAATGTAATTATCAATGATTCCACTACCATGACGCAGTTAAAATCAACTAAATGCACTCTTGCTAAATATTTAAAAGGTCAATGGCACCTTCATAAATTGGTAAAAAATAAAAGAACCTGGGCTGGCATATAGCTCATGGCAGGATGCCTGCCTAGCAGGTGTGCAGTCATGAGTTTGATTCCCCATACAAAAAACAAAAACAAACAAAAAACTCAATCTAGGTGGCAGGGGGAATTGATCACTAAGTTTTCCCTCTCCAGAATCCATTAGTTCCATTACAACAGACTAACACATCCCTATAGGATTTTAATCTACAGAATAAATAGAAACACATTTAAATTATCTCAAGCTGAATCCCACATACATTAATGATCAAGAAAACCCCTTTTGTTACAATTGTATGAACTTCACCTGGCTCGCTTCTCAAACTTGCCTATGGTCTACCAAACCTTCCTTTTTCTGCATAACGGAGGACTGAATTGAGGCCTTCAACTGAACTACATCCCCAGGTGTTTTCATTTTTCAATCTGAGACAGGATCTCTCTAAGTCACTAAGTTTCTTGGAATAAGCTCAAACTTTGAATCTTCCTGTCTCAGCTTCCGGAGTGCCGCCACACCTAGCTATTCTTTTATTTTCAGCAATCCATATAACTGCAATTAAACTTTTCTAAAATCTAGTAAAAATGCACTAGAAGAAATTATCACAGGCTTCACCAAATATTAATCATCTATTCCAACTTCCCACCCATGAAAAATATTTTTATAATGCTACTGAAAGTTTCTGAGAGTTTTAATAAACCTTGTCTTAAAGCATTGCCTCTTTTAACTCTTAGAACAGTGAGCAATATACTTCAGTTAATTCTTTTTAATTGAGTTAGGTTTTTTTTTTTTTTTTTTTTTTTTTTTTGGTCTTTTTCATTTTTCTCGGTACCAGGGATCGAACTCACGACTGCCTGCTTGCAAGGCAGGTGCTTATGCCGCTGAGCTAAATCCCCAGCCCCTTGAGTTAGTTTTAAACAGGACTAAAAAATACATTCTTTTACCATGTAGAGGGTGGTCTAAGTCAAGCAGGTAGGTCAATGCAGAGCCCTAGAGTGATCTCATTTAACCTTAACACTTAAAAGCTAACTTCTCTGAAGGGCTACACGGAAGGACAGAAACACACCACACATCCATCACTGTACCTTCCTGTCTTGGCTCAGGGTCAAGAACATATGTTGCAGTGGCAGCAGCACTGGGCAGGGCAGCTGATCATGCATCAGGGCCAGTTTCCCCTTCCCCTCTCAAAATGGTGCCTCTTTTTTTTTTCCTTCCTCTTTCCTTTTCTGTTCTCATCCCTGGGCAGTAACTGAAGTAATTGGGTTGCTGCCAGGGCAATTAGGACCAAAGAGGATACTACTCCTGAATTTACTGTACTGATCCTGTACAGTTCTCTAATTTTACAGCTTCTGCAGGAATATTTTTTAAAAGTTTAAATACAGCAGTTTTAGAGAAGTAAGTACAAAACAGTATAATACAACAAGAAATTCAACTAGAAAAATCTCCATAGAAATTAAACTTCAACTAGCCAAGAAAACTAGAAATTATACAAAGAAAACCCCCGCTGATGTGGTATAAATGCTAAAAACAAAACAATCTTTAGTTTTCAAGAGTACACTGCTTGTCAGGTATAGCGGTACACACCTGTAACCCCAGCACTCAGGAGGCATGAGGATTGCTGAAAGTTCAAGGCCAGCTTGGGGTACACAGTGAGTTCAGGACCAGCCTGAATTACATAGCAAGACCTTGTCTTAAACAAAAGAACAAACAAACAAAAAAGAGTACCTGCTAATGAAGAAAGCAAAAGTAGATACATACAACCAAGAATAATGCATAATGCCACATCAGCCAGGATCTATACACTGTCTATCCAGTTTAATATGTAGAGAACACACGTACATCAGGTCCAATTTATAGGTAATTTTCTAAAGTACCTAAACTGGGAGAATATTAAACTGCCTCAACTAGGTGTGATAGCACACGCCTACAATTCCAGCACTTGGGAGACTGAGGCAGGAGGATCTTTAGTATAGTAGCTCAAGGCCAGCCTGAATGGCAGAGGGAGACTTGGTCTCAAAAAAAGACATATACAAACAAAAAAATGCCTCAAAACTGTATCAGTACCTCTTACTACCTTTCTAATCCTTATAATGAATCCTACTACTTTTTCTTACAGGACTATTAAAAGGTAACAAATGTCAGCAAAACTATTTCCTGATACTAACTTTAGCTGGGATGCCAAACACTGTTTATACATATTTCACCCACATTTAACAGAAGAGTACTAAAAAAAACTGCCTAAAACTATACTTGTATGAAATACATGCAAACTATACTGCTTTGGAAAGACTTGCTCTTCATAAATCAGTAGAGGAGACAACTTCTGTGCAAGCAGTAAAAACTTTACAAAGTAGTTTCTACTGACTAAGGAAGAGTAATGAACATAAGAGGTAAAAGTGGTCAAAAGTGGTTTAAGTCTTTTTAAGATCACAATCAGGAAATTAACAAATTTATGGGTAATTTGAGGAATCGAAAATAGCACAGCACAGGAGGCCTGAATAATAACACTGTAAAAAGGAACTCCACAAATGAGTAATTATGTTCACATCAAATCATTTTTACTGGAAATTTTAGAACTAAGTACCCTCTAGGTTGGACTGTTCCTTAAGATAAGACAGTATATAATAAAAATTTGTTGCAAAAAAGAGAAAAGGGAAATGTTTTAGAAATAAATTATTCTAAGCGTCTCACAGAAAGTTCACAATAACAAGAAAACAGTAAATTATCAGAGGTAGGGCTGTGAAACAAGAACAGCTTTAAAATTTAATAAAGGAAAAACACCAAAGATAATAACCTTTGTTATGAAAAATAAATGACATGAATATGTGAATTCTTTAAATGAGCAAAACACATACCCTCCTATAACTAATGAAATCTCTGATTAAAATGAGTACCTGAAAAGTTCATGAAAACAATTAGTAATGTATCATAGATTAAGCTTTCATCCAAAGAAAGAAGTATAAAGCATACTTACAATTGAATCACTTACAATTATTTTTGAAAATTCAAGAACTGGAGAGATACCAGAAGACTGGAAAAAAGCAAGTGTAGTACTGATCTTCCATAATGGTAAGGAAAAGAGAGAATAGAAAAGTTACCATGCTGTGAGTCTGACATTAGTAATCAAGTAAAGGAATACCTGTATTAAGAGAAAACCTGTAACTATACAGAGGAAAAGTAGGTACCTAAGAGCAAGTGACAAGTTAAAAACAAAACATATTATGCCAAACTTACTGGCTTTTCTGTTCCTTGGAAATTTAAGTTAGCAAATTAAATTTTTCAGAGTAATGACATCATTTTGTTTCCCTATCAAATGACTTAAAAGTTGATTTAAGATGAGAGAAAAATATACTAAAGAAATCAGAAACATTTAATAAGACCATGATTTTATGTAAGAAATACTAATCTGTGATTGCTTTGGAAAACTTATTTCAAAACATTTGCAATCCGAGTTTATTCCTCTGGTTTATTCACTTCAGCTAAAAGAAGAATAGGAGGATCTGGAGATAGAGAAGTATTGAATTTTAGAATTTCTACTTATTTTTAATCTTAAAGATTAATATGGAACTACCTAATCATTTGGAGTGAAGATTATCAACTTTAAAATGTTCATAAAACTGAGCCTAGTATTAAATTTTTTCCTCCATTGTACCTTGAGGAAGAAATTTTCCACGCAGGTCAATACTCTGACAATTTAAGACTTCATATTAGGTTCTGTATTATCAACAGGGCAGCTATTGGTATTTTACCAACAATTTCTAGTTACCGCAAGAATGCTTTAAAAGGTAAGCTCTTTTTCAATATTTCTAAGTGAGCAGTTTCTAACAGCATGGATTCATTCACCATGGATACATAAAACACTAAAGTTTTTCAGAGTGTAAGGTAGTCTGCGATACACTTTATGCTTTCTTATTTCATTACTGCAACACAGTAAGACAAAGAGATACTGGCTATTTTGTGAGTGCTGTTTACTCAAATAAACCTTCCAGTGAGATACTTTAAAAATTGGATTTTAACCTCTTCTAGCTTTAAATATATTATACTTCTTGTAAAATTACAAAGATATTTGAAACAAATTCATGACCTAAGGACACTACAATGTAATTTGAAAATTGCCTGAAGGCATTTGATGGAGTGAAAATGGGCATTATCTAGTTTTAAACCCTGAATGTGCAACTTCTAATGAAGCACCTGTGTGATCTAGCCAGTCACATTCCCTGCCTCCACTGTCTCATTGTAGGGTAGGTATGATATGATATTAAACTACATAAGGCTTCTGGGTAGAGAAAATGAAAAGGTATGTATAAAGTAATATAATGGCAGGGTTAACATAGTGTCTTAAATGATCAGTATTCACCAGCTAGCTAACAATCACAATCCTATAAAATGGCTAATATATGTCCCTGAGTACTTGATGCATTAAGAAAAATGCCTAATCAGGTAAAAGTTTCACAACCAATTTTTCAGAGATATACAATAAAGAAAAGGATTTAAGCATAATTTAAAGCATATGTAACAACTCTTTTAAAAAGGAAAATGATTTAGTAAGTTCCAAAGAATATACTAGATGGTGGTAATAAAAAAAGACATGAGCAACTGACAAAATGAGTAGTGAAGTACAAAATAGAAAAAGACAATTCCAATATGGGATGTTCAGAAAAGTACAGGTGACTATGCCTGAACCACAAAAAGTAAATTGTACTTACTTATTATCCTGGAAACTAAGGGTCAAACAATGTAAAGAAAATCTTTTTCTCCATGAAAAGCATAATATTTGTACACTGGACATCTGAAAAACTAAAGTTGCTTTTATCTTTAAAGTTACAAAGAAAATTGTTTATATATAATGTTATGTTAAAATCTACGAAACAAATCTAAATTACTCATGGATTTGTGTCAAATATGTTGGGAATGAGGCACACATATTAGCGCTAAAATTCATGAATTTTAGTAACTTAGCACACTTCTCTTCATCTAATATAACTCCTTCTAAATTACAAAACACTAATATTGACACCATAAGGTAAATTACACAAATAACTGAACAATATTCAGTATAGTATTTTTCTATACTAAAGTCACTGACAGCATTTCTTTTCAAAAAACTCAATTTATTCTCTAAGGCTATATAAAAGCATTCAAACAGCATAGATGACCATGTAGTTTAGTTAGTCTGGGGTGGTCTTTATGAGCTCTATCTCAGCAAGATTACTAGTAGCTTCCTTTACTTTCACATGTGCCTCAGTTAGACAATGAGTTATATGGCTATTGTCTCTGACAAAAGCAGATTACTAGCACTGTCGATATATATCATGAAAAGTATGTAAGACTGCCTAAGAGGATTCGGATGCTGCAAAACTGGCTTCTAAAAAAAATCTAAATCTGAAATGACACATAACGGCCCTGAATGCATGAAGCAAACAAACAACAGCAGGAAAGATAGCATAATTCAAATCAATTAATATTAACTGCATGCTTACCTTATTCGAAAGACAAATACTATGGAAGATGGGGGAGGTTGGGAACTGAGCCCAAGACCTTTACACTGGGCTACAACCCCAGACCCTTTTTAAATTTTGAGACAGGGTCTCACTACATTGACAAAGCTGCAATTTAAAAGTTATTTAAGGCACCAGAATTTGCATTTTGAAAAGGCCACTTACATGCACACCTCTGAAATAAAATACACAAAACATATATTCTATTAGTACTAGGGACTGTGCAAATGGGACATCTGAGGCAGAAATTCTAATTTGTTGTCATTGTTAATTTTTTGTAAATATGCATTTATTGTGATCTCAATTTGAAAGCTTTATGTAAAAAATATACAGAAACCACAGGCTATATTTTCCAAAAAATTTTATGTGCAAAACCATTGGCATTATTTTTATAAAACTATCTACAAAATCCCAAAATAGATTAAGGAGTAAATGTGGCAATGCTGAAACTACTCAGATACCTCTCTAAAGAAAAACAAAGCATTAACAAATTGCTGGGCATGGTAGTGGATGCCTGTAATCCCAAGGATGCTTTAGTGACTCAGGGCCAGCCTAAACTGCATGTAGACCCTGTCTCAAAAAAAACAGAACAAAAACATTCGCCATGTTTTTTTCTTTCCTGATAATGTGTATAGAATCCAGGCATTCTGTAGGTTTAGGCATGAGTTACAGCCCCAATCACAATATTATTAAGGTAAAGGGGACATGTTAGTAAACATGTATTAGTTAAAACTTTGCAGTCACCATAATACTAGAAAAAATTGAATGCTAGAAGAAAAAATAGCTAGTAAAACAAAACAGACTATTCAAGTTTTTTCCCACACCCTTCCTGCCAACATGATCATGACTCAACATCCAAGAAAGCAATCTCAAGAGAAACAATACCCACTACGTCATACTCTAACCAAGCAACTGTTTTGATCATGGAGTGTCTGGCAATCAACCAAAACATTTTTTCCTGGGACAATTTCACTTGATCAGGCTACTTGCAATATCCCTAAAAATCTCAGATTAAGTTATTCTAATGTTACATAGTTGGAAAGGTTTACTAGTACGGGATTAAAAAAAAAACAAACAAAAAACAAAAACCTACATTAATTCTTCCCCCAGTCTCAGACTACCAGCATTTTAAGGAAGTCTATTTCTAATATCTACCAAATAACAAATGTTCCAGGTAAATTTCCTGGAAATTTACCCCAAATGTAACAAGGAAAATTCATACTAAACACATAAATCCTTAAATTGAATATTTTAGTAATTCATTCAAGTTTTTAAATAACTGCAGACTTCTTATAGCATACTTCTTGAAAATTTAATTATAAAGTGATTTTCAAAATAAAACCTAAACTATTTTATCTAGCAAGACCAAATCTCTCTGCACAGCAAATATAACAAATTGACACCCAGGGGAAGCTAACATAACAAACTAGTCAGGCCAGAAGACTTTCATCTTACACATACCAAGCAAAATGACAACAATCCTAAACTGAACAGGTTCAAAACTGTTCAAGATTACATGTGCTGTTTCCGTATATTTGATATTAGCTAACAGCAAATGTCAGCTAAATGGAAACAAATATAGGTTCAGGTTTTGCTAAAGCTGGTAAAGACTTCTATAAAAGTCATTCTGATTTAGTATGTCAGAAACCTATCATCTTGATTTGAAATAGGACCAGAATACAAGCCCATGCAAAAAGAACTGAGACACAACATGTATTAATACCAATTTCCCCATTATGAATGTTATGGATTATGTGTAAGAAATATACACTTAATGAAAAACTTTTTAAAAACTTTTTTAGTTAAAAATTTTTTTAAAGAAATGCAAGTTCATAATTGCAGAACTTTTGTTTTTTCTCTACTGCATTCTTCAGGGTAGTGACTGGTTTGTAGCAAATGCTCAACAAAAATAATGTCAATTAAGGATTCTGCAATACCCCTATCTGTTAGCATTTCAACATAGAAATTTCTTACAGATTACAAATAGTAACATTCACAACACAAATCATTAATAACTTAATTATAAAAGTTCATTATAGTCCAAATGTGGGATCCTTCCAAGGTTAACAAAGTTTTTGAAGGAAAAAAAAAGTGAGAGAAACTGAACAGCAGATAAAGACAGCAAAATAAACATAGGTATAGTAAGATCAAGCAATGATGATCACCTTGTCCCTCTAAAAACTCGTTCTGTCTCTTTTTAATTTTTATTCTATTTATGTTTTGTTTTTTGAGACAAGGTCTCACCATGTAGTGCAGGCTGGCCTCAGAACTGTGATGTTCTTCCTGCTTCAGCCTCCCACGTGCTGGGATTACTGGTGTGCACCACCACGCCCTACTCCTTCCAAATTTTATCATGAGCACATTTCCACACATACTACTCTGGACCTTAGAATTAATTCAGTATTAAAATAATTATTCATTAAGTATTTTGTAACTATGGTACTATGCTGGACACTGGGGAAGCCAACGCCAAGCTAACACCAACTCTGACCTTAAAAGAATGTCAGAGGAAATCTGACTACAAATAACTGATTTGAGCATGGTAAAATGATGTTAAGTG